AGTGAGTGAGTGTGAGTGAGTGAGTGAGAGAGTGAGTGAGAGAGAATGAGAGAGAGTGTGAGTGAGAGAGTGAGTGAGTGAGAGAGAATGAGAGAGAGTGTCAGAGAGTGTGAGTGAGTGAGTGAGAGAGAGAGTGTGAGTGAGAGAGTGTGAGTGAGTGAGTGTGAGTGAGTGAGTGAGTGAGAGAGAGAGTGTGAGTGAGTGAGTGAGAGAGTGAGAGAGAGTGAGAGAGTGAGAGAGAGTGAGTGAGAGAGAGAGTGAGTGTGAGTGAGTGAGAGAGTGTGAGTGAGTGAGTGAGTGAGTGAGTGAGTGAGAGAGAGAGTGTGAGTGAGTGAGTGAGTGAGAGAGAGTGAGTGAGAGAGAGAGAGTGTGAGTGAGTGAGTGAGAGAGAGAGAGAGTGAGAGAGTGTGAGAGAGAGAGAGAGAGAGTGTGAGTGAGTGAGTGAGTGTCAGAGAGAGAGTGTGAGTGAGTGAGTGAGAGAGAGTGTGAGTGAGTGAGTGAGAGTGTGAGTGAGTGAGTGAGAGAGAGAGAGTGAGAGAGAGAGAGTGTCAGAGAGAGAGAGAGTGTGAGTGAGTGAGTGAGAGAGAGTGAGAGAGAGTGTCAGAGAGAGAGAGAGAGTGAGCGAGTGAGTGAGAGAGTGAGAGAGAGTGTGAGTGAGTGTGAGTGAGTGAGTGTCAGAGAGAGAGAGTGTGAGTGAGTGAGTGAGAGAGAGTGTGAGTGAGTGAGTGAGAGAGAGTGTGAGTGAGTGAGTGAGAGAGAGAGTGTGAGTGAGTGAGAGAGAATGAGAGAGAGTGTCAGAGAGTGTGAGTGAGTGAGTGAGTGTGAGTGAGTGAGTGTGAGTGAGTGAGTGTGAGTGAGTGAGTGTGAGTGAGTGAGTGAGTGGTGAGTGAGTGAGAGAATGAGTGAGTGAGAGAGTGAGTGAGTGAGTGAGTGAGTGAGTGAGTGAGTGTGAGTGAGTGAGTGAGTGAGTGAGTGAGTGAGTGAGAGAGTGTGTGTGAGTGTGAGTGTGTGTGTGTGTGTGTGTACCTCGTCCTGGGATCTCTTGGCTCTCTCTTCGTCTCTCCTGGACTTCTTCAGAGCATCCGGACCGACGACAGACAGAACGCTCCGCAGTCTGACAGAAACAAACTGATTAATAATCAATAAAGTTCAGTCCACCTTTATGGAGACAGTTCTGATCACACTGATCAACTTAATCTATTTTTACGGACCTTTCGCGGCGGTCAGCTGGTCCCTCTCCAAACAATGTGATTGGCTCTCCCAGAGCTCGTAGGCCGGCCTTCACCTCGGCGTCGTCAGTGGAAACGGTGATCTGCCGCGCTCGCCGCCGCCGCTCGAAGGCAGCGAGCGCTTCCTGCTGTCGCTCACTGACCCGCTCCTCCATCTCCAGAGTTTCTCCTGCATGGCATCATGGGAAACAGAGTCTCTCACATACACGTCACACGCACACACACTAACATGCATCTGTAGTTTGAGACCGACCTGAAGAGATGTTGATGTTTCCCGCCTCAATCCCCGCCTTCACCGCATCACTTCCTGACGCCGCGCTACTCGCCGCCTCTGAACTCAGGCGCTCGCGCTCTTTTTCCTCCAGGCTCCCGTAGAAAACACGACTCTTCTTCACGGCCGGAGCCGCATCTTCCCCGTCCGACATGATTCAGTTCTTTTTTGTCTTCTTCTACTGCCGCTGTAGCTGCTGTCGCCCCCCAGAGGCTGCTGTGAAAACTACCCCAAGAGAAAACACTGAAACATAGAGATCTTTTTATAATCAGAAAATAAAATCACAACATACTTTTAAAAACATCTTCATGATTTCCACAATAATCTCAGTATGATGTTTTTATATCGTTCAGCTCATTTGTCTGAGGAAGATATTAATTCATCTAAAAACATTAGAGCAGCACTGTATAATGAACACATTCCTATTGTAACAGGTTATAAATCAAACAGTAATTCATTGGTATCTGTATTATATTAACTGTGTCTCTTCACATTATAATAGATATTTCCTCCTCTATAGTTTATCAATAAAGTGATATCAGCCCCATCCCACAGCTGCACACAGCCAGTTAGTCCTGAGTATTAATCCTATTATTGTCCTTAATAATATTATTTTTTACTGCCGAACGAAAGAGCGACACTGACAGTAACAGACCTGAGCTCTGGTTCCGTTCTGGTCCTTTAGAGCCGACTACAGCGCGCGGATCAGCCGTAAATTAAACGGTTTTATAACGGAGTTTGGTGGAGACACAAAGAGGAAAAACAAACCGTCGTACACAGAGCTAACGTTAGCATTAGCATCAGCGCCAACACCAAAAAGACAGCGTCACGTGTGACGCCAGTCACTCCTGGGCGCGTGCACGACAGGTGAGAGTGACAGCGGTTTATAAACTTTAAATATTTCTCTTTTTAAAAACTTACACGTGAAGACAAACGAAGCGGCGTCGTCTCTGCGCGGTGCGTCACCCGGACGTAAACGCGTCATCCGCTTCCGGGTCAAAAGTTGTTCTTCCGGTGGGCAGAGCGGCAGCGAACACACGGCAGACGACGGAAACCCGCGAAAAAACCGCAACAACACACCTGTCAGGTAACTTTACACGAGCGTGTTACAACTGGTGAGAGTGTGGGGAAAATGTGAGGCGGGAACGGTCGTCGGTTTCCGGTTAAATTCGCTGTCTTTAGATGTCTGGACAGACGTTAGCCGGTTAGCTTAGCTTCTATTCGCCGTGAGCCTTGTTTTTTTTTCAGGGCAGCAGGGCGGCAAAGTCCCGCCCTACTCGGCCTCTGATTGGCTGCTGATCGTTGCGTTCTCTGGTTTGATTGGTTGGGGTTAGACCGAAAGAGTGTGATTGGGCAGCGTGAGAGAAAATGTTCCTGTATTGATTCCGTAGAGGAAATTCAAACTAGCACAACACAGGGAAGAATAAAGAGAATACAACTTAAATATAATAATAATATATTATCAGATACAGCACAGCACACACTAAGAGCTTGTATTAGAGCCGATATTAGATAATGAGCCTGTATTAGAGCTGATATTAGAGCTGATATTAGATAATGAGCCTGTATTAGAGCTGATATTAGATAATGAGCCTGTATTAGAGCTGATATTAGCTGATATTAGATAATGAGCCTATAGAGCCTTATTAGGCTGATATTAGAGCTGATATTAGATAATGAGCCTGTATTAGAGCTGATATTAGAGCTGATATTAGATAATGAGCCTGTATTAGAGCCGATATTAGAGCTGATATTAGATAATGAGCCTGTATTAGAGCTGATATTAGAGCTGATATTAGATAATGAGCCTGTATTAGAGCTGATATTAGATAATGAGCCTGTATTAAAGCTGATATTAGAGCTGATATAAGATAATGAGCCTGTATTAGAGCTGATATTAGAGCTGATATTAGATAATGAGCCTGATATTAGAGCTGATATTAGATAATGAGCCTGTATTAGAGCTGATATTAGAGCTGATATTAGATAATGAGCTGATATTAGAGCTGATATTAGAGCTGATATTAGATAATGAGCTGATATTAGAGCTGATATTAGAGCTGATATTAGATAATGAGCCTGTATTAGAGCCGATATTAGAGCTGATATTAGATAATGAGCCTGTATTAGAGCTGCTATTAGATAATGAGCCTGTATTAGAGCTGATATTAGAGCTGATATTAGATAATGAGCTGATATTAGAGCTGATATTAGAGCTGATATTAGATAATGAGCCTGTATTAGAGCTGATATTAGAGCTGATATTAGATAATGAGCCTGATATTAGAGCTGATATTAGATAATGAGCCTGTATTAGAGCTGATATTAGATAATGAGCTTGTATTAGAGCCGATATTAGAGCTGATATTAGAGCTGATATTAGATAATGAGCCTGTATTAGAGCCGATATTAGAGCTGATATTAGAGCTGATATTAGATAATGAGCCTGTATTAGAGCTGATATTAGAGCTGATATTAGATAATGAGCCTGTATTAGAGCCGTATTGAGCTGATATTAGAGCTGATATTAGAGCTGATATTAGATAATGAGCCTGTATTAGAGCTGATATTAGAGCTGATATTAGATAATGAGCCTGTATTAGAGCCGATATTAGAGCTGATATTAGAGCTGATATTAGATAATGAGCTTGTATTAGAGCTGATATTAGATAATGAGCTTGTATTAGAGCCGATATTAGATAATGAGCTGATATTAGAGCTGATATTAGATAATGAGCTGATATTAGAGCTGATATTAGAGCTGATATTAGATAATGAGCTTGTATTAGAGCTAGATAGAGCTGATATTAGATAATGAGCTGATATTAGAGCTGATATTAGAGCTGATATTATGAGCTGATATTAGTATTAGAGCTGATATTAGATAATGAGCCTGTATTAGAGCTGATATTAGCTGATATTAGATAATGTTTAGAGCTGATATTAGAGCTGATATTAGATAATGAGCCTGTATTAGAGCTGATATTAGAGCTGATATTAGATAATGAGCCTGTATTAGAGCTGATATTAGAGCTGATATTAGATAATGAGCTGATATTAGATATGAGCTGATATTAGAGCTGATATTTAGATAATGAGCCTGTATTAGAGCTGATATTAGAGCTGATATTAGATAATGAGCTTGTATTAGAGCTGATATTAGAGCTGATATTAGATAATGAGCCTGATATTAGAGCTGATATTAGATAATGAGCCTTGTATTAGAGCTGATATTTAGATAATGAGCCTGATATTAGAGCTGATATTAGATAATGAGCCTGTATTAGAGCTGATATTAGAGCTGATATTAGATAATGAGCTGATATTAGAGCTGATATTAGAGCTGATATTAGATAATGAGCTTGTATTAGAGCTGATATTAGAGCTGATATTAGATAATGAGCCTGATATTAGAGCTGATATTAGAGCTGATATTAGATAATGAGCTTGTATTAGAGCTGATATTAGAGCTGATATTAGAGTGATATTAGAGCTGATATTAGAGCTGATATTAGAGCTGATATTAGATAATGAGCCTGTATTAGAGCTGATATTAGATAATGAGCCTGATATTAGAGCTGATATTAGATAGATAGAGCTGATATTAGAGCTGATATTAGATAATGAGCCTGATATTAGAGCTGATATTAGATATTAGAGCTGATATTAGAGCTTATTAGTGATATTAGAGCTGATATTAGATAATGAGCTGATATTAGAGCTGATATTAGATAATAGAGCTGATATTAGAGCTATATGAGCTGATATTAGATAATGAGCTTGTATTAGAGCTGATATTAGATAATGAGCTGATATTAGAGCTGATATTAGATAATGAGCCTGATATTAGAGCTGATATTAGATAATGAGCCTGTATTAGAGCTGATATTAGAGCTGATATTAGATAATGAGCCTGTATTAGAGCTGATATTAGATAATGAGCCTGTATTAGAGCTGATATTAGAGCTGATATTAGATAATGAGCTGATATTAGAGCTGATATTAGAGCTGATATTAGATAATGAGCTTGTATTAGAGCTGATATTAGAGCTGATATTAGATAATGAGCTGATATTAGAGCTGATATTAGAGCTGATATTAGATAATGAGCTTGTATTAGAGCTGATATTAGAGCTGATATTAGATAATGAGCCTGTATTAGAGCTGATATTAGAGCTGATATTAGATAATGAGCCTGTATTAGAGCTGATATTAGATAATGAGCCTGTATTAGAGCTGATATTAGAGCTGATATTAGATAATGAACCTGTATTAGAGCTGATATTAGAGCTGATATTAGATAATGAGCTGATATTAGAGCTGATATTAGAGCTGATATTAGATAATGAGCCTGTATTAGAGCTGATATTAGAGCTGATATTAGATAATGAGCTTGTATTAGAGCTGATATTAGAGCTGATATTAGATAATGAGCTGATATTAGAGCTGATATTAGAGCTGATATTAGATAATGAGCTTGTATTAGAGCTGATATTAGAGCTGATATTAGATAATGAGCTTGTATTAGAGCTGATATTAGAGCTGATATTAGATAATGAGCTGATATTAGAGCTGATATTAGATAATGAGCTTGTATTAGAGCTGATATTAGAGCTGATATTAGATAATGAGCCTGTATTAGAGCTGATATTAGAGCTGATATTAGATAATGAGCCTGTATTAGAGCTGATATTAGAGCTGATATTAGATAATGAGCTTGTATTAGAGCTGATATTAGAGCTGATATTAGATAATGAGCTGATATTAGAGCTGATATTAGATAATGAGCCTGTATTAGAGCCGATATTAGAGCTGAGAGGACGTAGGATCGGCGTCCAGACAACATGCTGTTAATCATTTAATGCTCATCATGGATGTATTGATTATTGATCTGTGGAGCCGTCCACTGTGAGTGACCGATTCTTCCTTCCTGAATAGGCCTTTTTCACAGCAGCCACTTTCACATGAAGCAGTCGGGTAAACCCGCCCGTGTTTATCCAACTGTCTCAGGTCAAGATGTCTGCTGTGAAAAAGGCCACATTCATTTGACCTGTGAAGCATCTCCAGGTCTGTTTGCTAATGATCAATGTCAATCAGTTCTGTTAATAATCAATAGTATTGTTCCCTGCTGTTGTATGTTCAGAAGATGCTGAGGAGGAAACCGACCCGTCTGGAGCTGAAGATCGACGACACTGAGGAGTTCGAGAGCGTCAAGAAGGAGCTCGAGGTTCCAATCACTTCTATTTATCAATCTGTACTATTGATACGGATCAGTACAGTCAAACCCTGACCTTTAAACCTGATTATCTATTTTTCAGGCCAGGAAGCGTCAACGAGAGGAGGCGGAGTCAGGAGGTGGAGTGGGCGGGGCTTCTGTCATCAGTGTTGACATCATCGGGGGCGGGGCTTCAGCCTCTTCCTCCACAGCGACGTCGAGGGCGGAGCTTATCAACGAGCGAATCGGCTACAAGCCCCACCCCAAACCAGCCACGCTGCCCACCCTGTTTGGAAGTTTACAGTTTTAATAAAAGATCAATAAATGTGATCGATCAGGTGTGGAAACAATCATAAACACAATAATAATCAATAAAGTTGATTGAAAGTGGTAAATGAAAACGAACCTCAGCAGTGGTTCCAACCTGAGGGTCGCTGCCCCGCCGGGGGTCACCAGCTTTTATTGATTATAATGGATGAAAGAAAACCATATTATTGATCAAAACAGAGTCAATATCTGTGTTTGAACATTTCTGTCAATAAAACTTAAACTGTGTATATTATTGATCACAGTGTATATTATTATTGATCAGTGTATATTATTATTATTATATTATTGATCACAGTGTATATTATTATTATATTATTGATCACAGATTAATTATTATTATTATATTATTGATTACAGTGTATATTATATTATTGATCACAGATTATATTATTATATTATTGATCACAGTGTATATTATATTATTGATCACAGATTAATTATTTTATTATTGATCACAGATTATATTATATTATTGATCACAGTGTATATTATATTATTGATCACAGATTATATTATATTATTGATCAGTGTATATTATTGATCACAGATTAATTATTTTATTATTGATCACAGATTATATTATATTATTGATCACAGATTAATTATTTTATTATTGATCACAGATTATATTATATTATTGATCACAGTGTATATTATATTATTGATCACAGATTATATTATATTATTGATCACAGTGTGTATTATTGATCACAGTGTGTATTATATTATTGATCACAGATTATATTATTATTGATCACAGATTAAATTATTATTATTGATCACAGTGTATATTACTATTGATCACAGTGTACATTATTATTGATCACAGTGTATATTATTATTGATCGCAGATTATATTATATTATTGATCACAGATTATATTATTATATTATTGATCAGTGTATATTATTATAATATTATTGATCACAGATTAATTATATTATTGATTACAGTATATTATATTATTGATCACAGATTATATTATATTATTGATCACTGTATATTATTATTGATCAGTGTATATTATTATTATATTATTGATCACAGATTATATTATTGATCACAGTGTATATTATATTATTGATCACAGATTAATTATTATATTGTTGATTACAGTGTATATTATATTATTGATCACAGATTATATTATTATTATATTATTAATAGTGTATATTATTATTATATTGTTGATCACAGTGTATATTATTGATCACAGTGTGTATTATTATATTATTGATCACAGATTATTATTATATTATTGATCACAGATTATTATTATATTATTGATCACAGTGTATATTACTATTGATCAGTGTACATTATTATTGATCACAGTGTATATTATTATTATTGATCACAGATTATATTATTATTGATCACTGTATATTATATTATTGATCACAGATTATATTATTATTGATCACAGTAAATATTATTATATTATTGATCACAGTAAATATTATTATTATTGATCGCAGCGTATATTATTATTGATCACAGTAAATATTATTATATTATTGATCACAGATTATATTATTATTATTGATCGCAGCGTATATTATTGATCACAGTGTATATTATTATTGATCACAGATTATATTATTGATCATAGTGAATATTATGATATTATTGATCACAGATTATATTATTTATCGCAGCGTATATTATTATATTATTGATCACAGATAATATTATTATTATTATTGATCACAGTGTATATCATATTATTGATCACAGATAATATTATTATTATTATTGATCACAGTGTATATCATATTATTGATCACAGATTATATTATTATTATTGATTGCAGATTATATTATTATATTATTGATCACAGTGTATATTATTATTATATTATTGATCATAGATTATATTATTATTATCTTATTGATTTCAGATTATATTATTATTATTGATCGCAGTGTATATTATTGATCACAGATTACATTATTATTGATCGCAGCGTATATTATTGTATTATTGACCACAGCGTATATTATTATTGATCGCAGTGTATATTATTAATATTAGTGATCCTAGCGTATATTAATGTGAAAGAAAGATAAGAATATTGTGTAAATATGATACGTTTGTTTGCCACATTCAGCTGCAGGTGGTTCTCCCCACACCACTACACAAAGCGGTCGACCAGGTCCTTGTACTCAGCCTCCCCTCTCCCAGACACCCAACGATAACCATGTCATCAGAGTATTTCTGCAGATGACATGACTCAGTGCAGTGTCCTAGGTTTCTGCCTTTTAACAGGCAGTTTTTCCTTGCCCTTGTCACCAAGGTCTTGCTCATGGTGGAAGTGTTGGGTCTCTGTAAATAATGTTATACAGTGGGTACGGAAAGTATTCAGACCCCTTTAAAATTTTCACTCTTTGTTTCATTGCAGCCATTTGCTAAAATCAAAAAAGTTCATTTTATTTCTCATTAATGTACACTCAGCACCACATCTTGACAGAAAAAAACAGAAATGTAGAAACTTTTGCAAATTTATTAAAAAAGAAAAACTGAAATATGGTCATAAGTATTCAGACCCTTTGCTGTGACACTCATATTTAACTCACATGCTGTCCATTTCTTCTGATCCTCCTTGAGATGGTCCTGCTCCTTCATTGGAGTCTAACTGTGTTTAATTAAACTGATTGGACTTGATTAGGAAAGGCACACACCTGTCTATATAAGACCTTACAGCTCACAGTGCATGTCAGAGCAAATGAGAATCATGAGGTCGAAGCAACTGCCCAAGGAGCTCAGAGACAGAATTGTGGCAAGGCACAGATCTGGCCAAGGTTACAAAATAATTTCTGCAGCACTCAAGGTTCCTAAGAGCACAGTGGCCTCCATAATCCTTAAATGGAAGAAGTTTGGGACGACCAGAACTCTTCCTAGACCTGGCCGTCCAGCCACACTGAGCAATCGTGGGAGAAGAGCCTTGGTGAGAGAGGTAAAGAAGAACCCAAAGATCACTGTGGCTGAGCTCCAGAGATGCAGTAGGGAGATGGGAGAAAGTTCCACAAAGTCAACTATCACTGCAGCCCTGCACCAGTCAGAGGCTTTATGGCAGAGTGGCCCGACGGAAGCCTCTCCTCAGTGCAAGACATATGAAAGCCTGCATAGAGTTTGCCAAAAAACACATGAAGGACTCCCAGGCTATGAGAAATAAGATTCTCTGGTCTGATGAGACCAAGATTGAACTTTTTGGCGTTAATTCTAAGCGGTTTGTGTGGAGAAAACCAGGCACTGCTCATCACCTGCCCAATACAATCCCAACAGTGAAACATGGTGGTGGCAGCATCAGGCTATAGGGATGTTTTTCAGCTGCAGGGACAGGACGACTGGTTGCAATTGAAGGAAAGATGAATGCGGCCAAGTACAGAGATATCCTGGAAGAAAACCTCTTCCAGAGTGCTCAGGACCTCAGACTGGGCCGAAGGTTCACCTTCCAACAAGACAATAACCCTAAGCACACAGCTAAAATAACAAAGGAGTGGCTTCGGAACAACTCTGTGACCATTCTTGACTGGCCCAGCCAGAGCCCTGACCTAAACCCAATTGAGCATCTCTGGAGAGATCTGAAAATGGCTGTCCACCAACGTTCACCATCCAACCTGACAGAACTGGTGAGGATCTGCAAGGAGGAATGGCAGAGGATCTAAACTAAACTAAATTATAATTCATTTGAAAGCCTTGTTCTTAGTCTTTCTCACCCAAACTGGAAAACACTGCAGCCAGTTCTATTTGTTATAGTGTACCGCGCTCCTGGACCGTACTCTGATTTTATATCTGAATTTTCAGAGTTTCTATCAAGTTTAGTCCTTAAATCAGATAAAGTAATTATTGTAGGTGATTTTAATATTCATGTGGATGTTGACAATGACAGCCTTAGTAATGCATTTATATCATTAATAGACTCAATTGGCTTCTGTCAGAGTGTAAATAAACCAATTCATTGTTTTAATCACACTGTTGACCTTGTTTTATCATATGGCATTGATATTGAACATTTAATAGTCTTCCCACATAATCCTTTCCTATCTGACCATTATTTAGTAACTTTTGAATTCATACTATTAGATTATAAGCCATTAGGCAAAACTTCCTACAGCAGATGTCTATCTGACAGTGCTGTAGCTAAATTTAAGGAGGAGATTCCTTCAGTGTTTAATTCAATGCCATGTCTGAATTTAACAGAGTCCTATAACGACTTTAGTCCCTCTAAAATTGATAATCTTGTTGATAGTGCTACAGGCTCACTACGATCAACATTAGACTCTATCGCTCCTATAAAAAGGAAATTATTAAAACATAGGAGACTAGCACCTTGGTATAACCACCAAACCCGCCAGTTAAAACAAATAGCTAGGAAATCTGAAAGGAAATGGCGCTCTTCCAAATTATCAGAATATCGCTCAAATTGGCAAGATAATCTTAAAACTTATAGAAAGGCCCTCCGTAATGCCAGAGGAGCCTATTACTCAGCACTAATAGAAGAAAATAAGAACAACCCTAGGTTCCTCTTCAGCACTGTAGCCAGGCTGACAGAGAGTCACAGCTCTATTGAGCCACATATCCCCATAAACTTAAGTAGCAACGACTTCATGAGCTTCTTCTATAATAAAATTATTACTATTAGAGAAAAAATTAATCACCAACTGCCATCAACAGTTATCAGTGGCTCTCCAAGTACAGGGACTTCTGTCAATGTAAACTTGACATATATATATTTAGACTGTTTCTCTGCTATCGATCTTCATCAGTTAACTTCAATCATTTCTTCATCGAAGCCATCAACCTGTCTGTTAGACCCGATCCCAACTAGGCTGCTTAAAGAAGTTGTTCCCTTAATTGGCACTTCTTTACTGGATATGATTAATCTTTCTTTATTATCAGGATATGTACCACAGTCCTTTAAAGTAGCTGTAATTAAACCCCTTCTTAAAAAGTCCACTCTTGACCCAGGGGTTTTAGCCAACTATAGACTGATTTCTAACCTCCCCTTCCTCTCTAAGATTCTGGAGAAAGTAGTCGCCAAAGAGTTTATGTGACTTTCTACATAACAATAGTTTATTTGAGGATTTTCAGTCAGGATTTAGAGTCCATCATAGCACAGAGACAGCTCTGGTTAAAGTTAATAATGACCTTCTGACTGCTTCTGACAATGGACTTGTCTCTGTACTTGTATTATTAGATCTTAGTGCTGCATTTGACACCATTGACCATGATATTCTTTTACAGAGACTTGAGCATCAAATTGGCATTAAAGGAACCGCACTAAGCTGGTTTAAGTCATATTTATCAGATCGCTCGCAGTTTGTACATGTTAACGATGAATCTTCAATAAATACTACAGTTAGTCATGGAGTTCCACAAGGTTCTGGACCAATACTATTTACTTTATATATGCTCCCTTTAGGCAACATTATTAGGAATCACTCCATTAACTTTCACTGTTATGCAGATGATACGCAGTTATATCTATCAATCAAACCCAATGAAATTAATCAATTATCTAAATTACAAACATGTCTTACGGACATAAAATCCTGGATGACCTGCAATTTTCTCATGTTAAACTCAAAAAACCGAAATTCTTGTTCTTGGCCCCAAAAACCTTAGAGACTCACTGTCTAAAGATATAGTTACTCTAGATGGCATTAACTTGGCCTCTAGCACCACTGTCAGGAATCTTGGAGTTATCTTTGATCAGGATTTGTCATTTAACTCCCACATAAAGCAGACCTCTAGGACTGCCTTCTTTCATTTACGTTATATTACAAAAATTAGACACATCCTATCACAGACAGATGCAGAAAAACTTATCCATGCATTTGTTACTTCAAGGCTGGATTACCGCAACTCTTTATTATCAGGTTGCCCCAATAAGTCCATTAAAACGCTCCAATTAATTCAGAACGCTGCAGCACGAGTACTGACAGGAACTAGAAAAAGAGATCACATCTCTCCTGTACTAGCTTCTCTGCATTGGCTCCCTGTAAAATGTAGAATAGAATTTAAAATCCTCCTCCTCACCTATAAAGCTCTTCATGGTCAGGCCCCTTCATATCTTAAAGAGCTCATAGTACCCTATTACCCCACTAGAACACTACGTTCTCTGAATGCTGGGCTACTTGTGGTTCCTATAGTCTCTAAAAGTAGAACAGGAGCCAGAGCCTTCAGTTACCAAGCTCCTCTCCTGTGGAACCAGCTTCCAGTTGTGGTTCTGGAGGCAGACACCCTCACCACATTCAAGAGTAGGCTTAAGACATTCCTCTTTGATAAAGCTTATAGTTAGGGCTGGATCAGGTGAGTCCTGAACCATCCCTTAGTTATGCTGCTATAGGCCTAGACTATCGGGGGATTTCCCATGGTGCACTGAGCTCCTCCCTTCCTCTCTCTTTCTGCACTCATTCATGTTCCATTAATGCATGTTACTAACTTCACTTCTTCCCCGGAGTTCTTGTGCTTTCTCGTCTTGCAGGTTCTTGTCGATCCTGGTGGAGCCTCCTGCCATGGTCCTGCTAGATTGCCATTGCTAATACTGTTGTTGCTATGCACCTGTCTGTCTGTCTGTCTCTCGCTCTCTCTGCCTCTCTCTCTCTCTCTCTCTCCCTCCCTCCCTCCCTCCCTCCCCAACTGGTGGAGACAGACGACCACCCACCTAGAGCCGGACGATCTGTCCTAGGTTTCTGCCTTTTAACAGGCAGTTTTTCCTTGCCCTTGTCTCCAAGGTCTTGCTCATGGTGGTACTGTTGGGTCTCTGTAATTAATGTTAAACAGTTTGGTCTAGACCTGCTCTATTTGAAAAGTGTCCTGAGATAACTTCTGTTATGAATTGGCGCTATACAAATAAAATTGAATTGAATTGAATTGAATTGAAATCCCCAAATCCAGGTGTGAAAAACTTGTTGCATCATTCCCAAGAAGACTCATGGCTGTAGTAGCTCAAAGGGTGCTTCTACTCAATACTGAGCAAAGGGTCTGAATACTTATGACCATGTGATATTTCAGTTTTTCTTTTTTAATAAATTTGCAAAAATTTCTACATTTGTTTTTTTTCTGTCAAGATGGGGTGCTGAGTGTACATTAATGAGAAATAAAATGAACTTTTTTGATTTTAGCAAATGGCTGCAATGAAACAAAGAGTGAAAAATTTAAAGGGGTCTGAATACTTTCCGTACCCACTGTAAGGAGTTCGGTCTAGACCTGCTCTATTTGAAAAGTGTCCTGAGATAAATTCTGTTATGACTTGGCGCTATACAAATAAAATTGAATTGAATTGAACTTAAAGTCTGCAGTGTACGTGGTGAAGAGGAAGGGAGACAGGACAGTTCCCTGGGGGGCCCCAATGTTACTAATCAGATGGTCAGACACAGCTCTTTAATCTCACAAACTGCGGTCACATAGTCATCGACCCATGTGACGAGGGGAGCACCCACCTGCATGTTCTCCAGCGTAGAGTGACAGAGCTTCAGTCTCTGATCAACAGAGAGAATATTAAGTCTGATTAATAAAATTATCAGGAAAACTCATCTCTGATCAATATTGACAGGAAATAATCAAACTTCCTGCACGAAGTGTTCACTGTTTGGGTTCATTATCGATATAATAGACTATGAGGTAGAGTTGGTCCAATATACATGCTCCCCTAGTTTCCTTAATTAGTTGAATCAAGTGTATTTCCTATCATTGATACACAGCTGTACTTCTTCATACGACCTTGGTCAACTCTCCATCCTGCAGGACTGCAGCCATTAAGGACTGGATGTCAGACAACTTCCTCCAACTTAACTCTGACAAAACTGAAGTCCTCATCATTGGCCCCAAGAGAATTTCTGAAAGGGTTTGGCAGTGTTTTGGTCCCTTAGCAGCAAATGTTAAGCCTCTAAAAATCACATGTGCTTCGACTGTCCCATAATTGGCCCAATCTTGTTTCTTCCACAAGAAATATTGCCAAAATTAAAGACATATTATCCTTTCAGGATCTGGAAAAACGACACTGGTTACCATCAAATGTCAAATAGAGTTAGAATATACAATAATTATTTATTATAAAATTATTGTTATATTATGGAAAAATTGTTTATTTTATAAAATATTTGTTTATTATACTGTGTCTCAGGAGGTAGAGCGGGTCGTCCACTAACCAGAAGGTTGGTGGTTCGATTCCAAGCTCCTCTCACTGAATTTTAAGTGTCCTTGGGCTGCCCCAAACTGCTCCTGAAATACTGTAAATCTGAAATCTGTCAGATTAGTTTATTCAAAGTCTATCTAAATGAAGTTTTTATAATAAATCTGTTAACATTGATAATAAATGATAAATATTAAGTTTATAATGTTAAAAAAATATAATATATAATAAGATATAATAAATGATTTCACTCGTCAGACGTTGGTATGATTTGTTTTATTTTCATAATAAATGCTACGATAATATTTTTATAGAGTTTAAACAAATATAAAAGACGATTAGTGTTCAAAAACATGAAATTGGAACTGTAAAAACTGTATTTACAGTGACAGTAGGCGGCGCTCTGATATCACAAAAACATTAAGGCTCCGCCCTCACATGGTCCAGGAAGTGATGCTGACCAATCAGGACTCCCGATTCATTTACACATACATGTTTTTATAATTTGTAGTTTACATATTTATATTAAAGTGGTCCGTCATTACCATGACAACCAGGAAATACACGCAGTAAGTGCTGATGATGTCATTTGTTTTTTTTAAGGAATTGTTTTGGACCATTTAATAAAAACAATAACAATACGTTTTTAAAGCAGAAGATTTTTGTTTGTTTTCATCTGACAACAAAAAATTTGAGATCACTGATTGGTCAAAAACATTTCCTCAAAAAAACCAAACAAAGATCGGGGTGGGCGTGGTCTGTGTGATGATTGACAGCTGTTTTTTCAGAATAAGAGTCAGTTTTAAAATCTGAGAAAATAAAAACATAATAAATAAAAAGATAAAAACAATAAACATTGATGTTAGTGTTAACAGCTGATTGATCCTCAGCAGTGGAGGCTGTTGCCATGGTTACAGCAGCGACAAGTGTGTAAGTGTGTGTGTGTGTGTGTGTGTGTGTGGCCTCTAACAGTGTTTGTCTGATCTGAGGTCAGTTTGTTTGTTATTGCTACCACCAGGTGAGCTAATCTGTTAGCATGTTTAGTGCTAGCCGTTCTGATGATGAAGCTCTCATCAATAACTCATCAATAACTGTGAACGTGTTTCTATTAGTGAGCAAGAACCCTCGCTACAGTCATGCTAAGCTGTTAGCTCCGTTAGCTTAACTTCTGCACGTGTAACTTCCTGTTTGACCGACAGTGTTCAGTGTTGTGGAGATTGTCATCAGTCTGACGTTTCGTGTCTTCAGAGGCTAAAATAGCTAGCTACACCCATGCTAACCTCTTCACCCGACTGTAGTTCAAACATCAGCTAACTGCTAAATGCTAACTGCTAACTGTGTGCAGCACCAACAGATTAGCATCAACTTCAGGAAAGTGCACTTTCTATTTTTAGCATTTTAAGTTAAAGGATCACTTTGTAGTGTTTCGTTAAGCTAACAGACATGCTCAGTGTGTACTGACGTCGTTACATCATCGTTGCATCATCGTTACATCATCGTTGCATCATCGTTACATCATCGTTGCATCATCTCCACGTTTCAGAAACTCTGCGGAGGTGATGGAAACTTTGGTTTCAAGCAGCTCAACTGTTGTTTTTGGTCGTTTTTTTGTGTTTTTACCAAAATATCAACGGGAGAGACCACGCCCACCTCCGACCACGCCCACCTCCGACCACGCCCACCTCCAAACAAACATGAAAAGGTAATTGTTCTTGGCTGATGGCGTGCTGCTGAGGACGCGACTGAACATTTTCTTCTTTTGTCTCTGATGATGGCGAGGCGTATGATGATGTCATCACTTCTTCTTGATGGCGGCGAGGCGTATGATGATGTCATCACTTCTTCTTGATGGCGGCGAGGCGTATGATGATGTCATCACTTCTTCTTGATGGCGGCGAGGTCTCGCTGCAGCTCTGAGAACTTGGGCCGGTCTTCGGGGTTGTACTGCCAACAGCGCTGCATCACTTTGTACACGTCGTCAGGGCAACGCTGAGGGCATGCCATCCTGTAACCTAGCAACCAGAGGACACAGAGGGGGTTTGAGCTAATGTCAAATCAGTAATATTATTGGTTAGCTCCTGAACCCAATCTGCTGGTATTGATTATCAGGAAAGAGGTTGATCCACACACCTGTCTCACCTGTCAGACACTGGAGGGCAGACAGGTGAGACAGGTGAGGCTACACTAACCCTCTTTAAGCTGATAGCACTTCCTGGTCCATCTCTGATCATCTATCAACAACGTGATCGATTCACAGTTGAATGATGATGTCACTCTGTTTACCTTTCTCCACCTGCTCTCGGGCCTGCTGATTGGTCATCCCAGGATAAGGACACACCCCCAGACTGAAGGTCTCCCACAGCAATATCCCATAACTCCACACATCACTCTCTGAGCTGTAACGACCTGCAACAGCCAATCACAGAGCAGACACAACACTGACCAATCACAGTAACAGATCATGATGTATTGTTTATAACCAGGTGTGTCAGACAGGTGTGTTACCGTAGTTCAGGGCCTCTGGAGCCGTCCATTTGATGGGGATCTGTTTGAGTCCAGATGAAGAATAAATGCCGTCGTCCTCCTGGCGGCTCATCCCAAAGTCACTGATCTTTAACACACTGCCCTCTCCCACCAGACAGTTCCTGGCTGCCAGGTCCCTAGAGACAGACAGGTTCAGACAGACAGGTTGGTGTACAAACTGATCAAACAAATTGATTCCTGCTGTGCGTATGTGTGTTGTGTTCACAGGCAGTGGGACACTGCAGTGCTCTGTACCTGTGGATACAGTTCTTACTCTCCAGGTACGCCATGCCGGCGGCAGCGTCCACAGAGAATCGAACAAGCTGCTTTGTCTTTAATTCGTCCTTCTTCTTCCTCAGAAAGGACAGGAAGTCTCCACCTGACAGACACAGCGAGGGTCACATGTTAGAAACTGACCAATGGGAAGAGTCTGCAGTGAGTAAGCTCCACCCACCAGGAACCAGCTCCATGACGATGTAGATCGGCTGTCGCTGCGTACAAACACCAATCAGCTTCACGATGTTCGGATGGTCGTACTGCTTCAGGATCCTGCAGCCAATCACAGACAGGCAGCACATTACAGTCAGTATACTCTGACATATTGATGTATTGATTGATGTATTGATTGATGTACTGATATATTGATTGATGTATTGATATATATTCAAGAGTAGGCTTAAGACATTCCTCTTTGATAAAGCTTATAGTTAGGGCTGGATCAGGTGAGTCCTGAACCATCCCTTAGTTATGCTGCTATAGGCCTAGACTATCGGGGGATTTCCCATGGTGCACTGAGCTCCTCCCTTCCTCTCTCTTTCTGCACTCATTCATGTCCCATTAATGCATGTTACTAACTCCACTTCTTCCCCGGAGTTCTTGTGCTTTCTCATCTCGCAGGTTCTCATGGATCCTGGTGGAGCCTCCTGCCATGGTCCTGCTAGATTGCCATTGCCAATATCTCTCTCTGTCTCTCTCTCTCTCTCTGTCTCTCTCTCTCACCCCAGCTGGTCGAGACAGACGACCACCCACCTAGAGCCGGAGGATCTGTCCTAGGTTTCTGCCTTTTAACAGGCAGTTTTTCCTTGCCCTTGTCTCCAAGGTCTTGCTCATGGTGGTACTGTTGGGTCTCTGTAATTAATGTTTTAAAGAGTTCTGTCTAGACCTGCTCTATTTGAAAAGTGTCCTGAGATAACTTCTGTTATGAATTGGCGCTATACAAATAAAACTGAATTGGAAATTGAATGTATTGATTGATGTACTGATGTATTGATGTATTGATGTATTGATTGATGTATTGATGTATTGATTGATGTATTGATTGATGTACTGATGTATTGATGTATTGATGTATTGATTGATGTATTGATGTATTGATGTATTGATTGATGTATTGATGTATTGATTGATGTATTGATTGATGTACTGATGTATTGATGTATTGATTGATGTATTGATTGATGTACTGATGTATTGATTGATGTACTGATGTATTGATGTATTGATGTATTGATTGATGTACTGATGTATTGATTGCTGTATTGATTGATGTACTGATGTATTGATTGAAGCTGACCTGGCCTCAGACAGGAACCTGATCTTCAGCTCTGGAGGTAAATCTTCTTTACATGTTTTGACGGCGACTGGCGTTTTGTCTCGCTGCAGCGTCCCTTTAAACACCTCTCCAAAGTTACCCTAGCAACCAGCAGACAACAAAGCATGATGGGATACACTGAGAGCGCTGTTCAAACATTACAACCATACACAGACTGAACAGGAAGTGAAGGAAACAGGAAGTGAGCTCACCTTTCCTAGCAGCTCCCCAAGCACCACGTCCTCATGGTTCAGGATCCACTTCTTATCCTACAGACACAAACACTACCTGAGCAGGTGTTTACTGCACATCTGTTTACTGGACACGGTATCGATACTGCTACTGATCAATAAAATATATATATATAGAAAGTGGTGGTTGCCTTGACGACGGGGTTGAGCAGCACGACTCCAGACTTCTTGGTGATGACCTGTTTGCTGGAGAAATGATGCTCGATGAGCTGAGGGATGGTGGAGAAACCGGTGCCTTCAAAACGGTACTGACTCTACCAGAGAGAGAGACAGAAAGAGAGAGAGAGGGGAGAGAGAGAGAGAGAGAGAGAGAGGGAGGGAGGGAGAGAGAGAGGGAGGAGGAGGGAGGGAGAGAGAGAGAGAGAGAGAGGGAGAGAGAGAGACAGGGAGAGAGAGAGAGAGAGAGACAGGGAGAGAGAGAGGGAGAGAGAGAGAGAGAGAGAGAGAGGGAGAGAGAGAGAGAGAGAGAGAGAGAGAGAGAGAGAGAGAGGGAGAGAGAGAGAGAGAGAGAGAGAGGGAGAGAGAGAGAGAGAGAGAGAGAGAGAGAGAGAGAGAGAGAGAGAGGGGGAGAGAGACAGGGAGAGAGACAGGAGAGACAGAGAGACAGGGAGAGAGAGACAGGGAGAGAGAGAGAGAGAGAGACAGGGAGAGAGAGAGAGAGAGAGAGAGAGAGGGAGACAGGGAGAGAGAGAGAGAGAGACAGGGAAGGAGAGAGAGGGAGAGAGGGAGACAGACAGAGAGAGAGACAAGCAGACAGGCAGTCAGACAGACAGCTCTAGCACCAACCTTTGAATGAGGACCTCTGTAATAATCTCAATATATTATTAGATATTATTGATCTGATCAATAACTTACATCGGCGTACTGGATGATGAAATGTCGTCTCTGCTCGTCAGAAAACACCGACAGGACGTACTCGCCTGGTTTACCGTGACTCTCCCTCACTAGGAAGTCTCCCTGTTGCCGTAGTAACTCCTGAGCCTCGGTGCGGGGGATGGCGCCGTGATACCACTCCTGATCCGCCAGGGGGCGCTCTGACGTTGGGATCACATCAAAGAACTGCTGCAGGGGGAACACAGGATTCAAATAACTTTATTCACAGACAGACTCACAGACAGACAGACTCATAGACAGACAGACTCATAGACAGACAGACAGACTCAGACAGACAGACAGACAGACAGACTCACAGACAGACAGACTCAGACAGACAGACAGACTCAGAGACAGACAGACTCACAGACAGACAGACTCACAGACAGACAGACTCACAGACAGACAGACAGACTCACAGACAGACAGACAGACTCACAGACAGACAGACAGACTCACCGAGGTGGAGGACCCCAGCATGGCTTTAGGAGAGCGGATCATCCCGGCCAGAGAGTGACGCAGAGTGTCGAAGCGAGAGCTCTTCTCCTTCGTCTTATCCTGCAGACACACACACACACACACACTCAGTGCCTTTATTTTGAAAGGGCAGCTCTTCCTGCCAGCCCCCTGTACACACCTCAGACAAATCAATACTCAATCATTAATCACTAAGTGAATACTTACGGTGGATCCAACAGAGCGGGCGTCATCCTCGTATGGCAGCGCGGGGGGAGGCGGCGGCGGGGGTGGGGAGGCAGCGGCAGCAGCCATCTTGGCATCCAGCAGGGCCTTCTGGGAGGCGAGGCGGGCCTCGGAGCCGCGCAGCGATTGGACGGCGTGATGAAGCTCGAGGAGAGAGAGTTTCTGACTGAGCAGCAAGACGCAGCTGAGGGCGAGAGACACAGTTTGACAGTCAGAACAGAGAGAGAGAGAGAGCTTGTGCTGTTATTTCATTCATCAGACTCACTCGCTCTTCCTCTCCGCGCTCTGCTGACTCGTCTGGATTTTGGCGTCGAGGTCGTCTGCCAACGCCTCCTTTGTCTGTAGATTCTGCTGAGTCAGCGCTAGCTCTTCAGTTGCCGACGACAACCTGGAAAACAAAAAGTGTAAAGTTTTAACAAAAATAAAGTTGACAGACGGACACACTGAGATTCATAAAAAACGTTCCTGGATGATACTGGGACGCCTTCATAAGGAGACTTTTATTTAGGAAGGCTACAGGAAACAGTATGGTGAGACTTTTATTTTGGAAGGCTACAGGAAACAGTATGGTGAGAGTTTTATTTTGTAAAAGCTCACATGGCCTGCAGGCTTTCAGCCGTCAGCGTGTTCCAGAGGATCTCATTGGCTGGCAGGTTGTCCGTCTCTTCCAACAAAGACGCATCGAACTCTACGCCTGCCTCAGGGGTCTCTGGAGACCTGGGGGGGGGAGCACGCTATTACCACAGTAACCACAGTCTGACTGATGGTAGTCAGTGGTTGTGTTCTCACCTGTAGGCGTCGATGAAGTGTTGGTACTCTGCCAGTGGGTCAATCTGCTCCACAGCCGCAGAGATCTCCTGATGAACCTTCACGATCTCTTCCGTCAACAGACTGCTGATCTCACAGTACTCCTCCAGAATACTTTTACTGCAGTAATACACAGATATATATCTCACTGCAGTAATACACAGATATATATCTCACTGCAGTAATACAGATATATATCTCACTGCAGTAATACACAGATATATATCTCACTGCAGTAATACAGATATATATCTCACTGCAGTAATACAGATATATATCTCACTGCAGATATACAGATATATATCTCACTGCAGTAATACAGATATATATCTCACTGCAGTAATACACAGAGATATATATCTCACTGCAGTAATACACAGATATATATCTCACTGCAGTAATACAGATATATATCTCACTGCAGTAATACACAGATATATATCTCACTGCAGTAATACAGACATATATCTCACTGCAGTAATACAGATATATATCTCACTGCAGTAATACAGATATATATCTCACTGCAGTAATACAGATATATATCTCACTGCAGTAATACACAGATATATATATCTCACTGCAGTAATACACAGATATATATCTCACTGCAGTAATACAGATATATATCTCACTGCAGTAATACACAGATATATATATCTCACTGCAGTAATACAGATATATATCTCACTGCAGTAATACAGATATATATCTCACTGCAGTAATACAGATATATATCTCACTGCAGTAATACAGATATATATCTCACTGCAGTAATACACAGATATATATCTCACTGCAGTAATACAGATATATATCTCACTGCAGTAATACAGATATATATCTCACTGCAGTAATACAGATATATATCTCACTGCAGTAATACACAGATATATATCTCACTGCAGTAATACAGATATATATCTCACTGCAGTAATACACAGATATATATCTCACTGCAGTAATACACAGATATATATATCTCACTGCAGTAATACACAGATATATATCTCACTGCAGTAATACACAGATATATATCTCACTGCAGTAATACACAGATATATATCTCACTGCAGTAATACACAGATATATATCTCCACTGTACAGCAATGTCAGTGTGTCTGTTAGTGGTCATGTGACTTACAGGGCGAGTGTCATGTCCTCCTGCATCCTCTGCAGAGCGTCGAGCAGTGCGGGTGCAGCGCGACGTCGGTGTTCGTCCTGCTGCGTTCGAGCGCCGCACACCGCCAACACGTACTGGTTGTGAAGGTTGTGAAGCTTTGCTGTTGCTTTGTCATAACGCTCCCGGGCACGCTCCGCCTCCCGGCCTGTGATTCGGCGAGAGGGAGGGGCGTGGTCAGGAAACAAGATCAACAAACGTTTCAAACCCTTTGAGACAGAAGAGTATTTCAAACCTTTAGCCAGAGCCTCTCTGTATTTCTCTTTGGCGTTGTTAGCATCACGGCTCAGCTGACGATACGTCGCCTTCAGTTTGTCCAGGTCACTCCTGGTTACCTGGCAACAACAAAACAACAGGGGTTCAGCCGCCTTGTGATTGGCAAAGGACAACATACATACATACATACATACATACATGACCCCCACAAACCAGACAAACACATGACTGATCAATATTTACACCTTAGTAAGACAGTGGTGTATTAACCAGCCAGTGTCTGACTGACAAACACTGTGCACTTCCTGTCACTAGCTTCAAAATAAAAGTCAACTCGTGTTTCTCCAGTAAAATGCTTTTAATGTGAAGCTGCAGCAGTACGAATCAGTAGCATTAGCGGCAGGCCTCGCCAAGAACATCGTTAGCTCAGTGTCGTGCTTGCTTGGCTGCACTCCCCCCAGCTAAATGTGATCAATGTGATCAATGTGATCAGAATGTATGCATGAGAGCAGCTCCACTGAATGACATGGAAAACTAAAAGCTGTCATCGTACCAACAGCTGAGAACTGAACACACACCCAGGCATTTAAATTTAAATCAATATTGTAGACGTTGGATCAATATTACGGGCGGGCAACCTTGTGTACGGTGTATCTGTGTATTTCCCAGCAGACCTTGTGGTTGTGGCTCTCCAGCTGCTGATGAAGACCCTGGTAGCTCTTCTTCACCTGCTGCTTGTCTCGGATCAGCGTCGCCAGGCGGTGCAGAGGACCTGAGTTCAGATCATCAGCGTGACTCCTCATGACGCGACCCAACGCCTCCGTCTGGCGGATCACCTGAGACCAAGACTGAAACACAGACTGACACTGAGACCAGGTCTGACACTAGTCCAGAGACATCAGGGCTGAATGAACAGGTGTGTCCACTCACCTTGCTCACAGTGCTGACGTAATCAGCAGCTTCCTGTTTCTCTGTTTGCTGAGTCATGCTGAGCAGCAGGGCGGCGTACTCCTTATCGCTCTTCACTCGCAGTGTCATGAAGCGTTTCACCGTCTCCAGCAGCTAGAGAGCAGCAGACAGTAACCAGTTTGCATTAAGTTAAATATTATTTAACACATTTAATAATTGAACATATACATTGTCAACCACGTCTAGAAATGACCACTGAAATTAATAAACATAAAATAGACAGCTGAACATCAGTATAGCGTTACAGCATAGGGAATGTTATGTTGTTATGTTATTATGTTGTGTCGCAGTGTGACCGTCTGCTCCGCCTATGATGACATCACTCCTCTATGAAAGATCTGATTGGCTGTCAGGGAATCTATGTGGATGGAGACCTAACAGTATTCTGTCGAATAATGCAAAAGTTCGGGCGCCATCCTGAAATCATAAGAGATACATTTCTCCCTTTTGAGTAACAACAAATATTTCATTATAAAAGGCAAACGGTGAGTAGAGTCGTACCTTTAACTCCCAGTCCTGAAGCTTCAGTAATCCCTCATGAGAATTCCTCAGATCCCGACCAAACCCCATCCTGGATCTCTCTCTCTCTCTCTCCCTCTCTCACACACACACACACACACACACACACACTCTCTCTCTCTAATGACGGGGGCAAGCGAGGAATGATTGCATGGTGCTCTAAGGAGGGAGAGAACACAGATTATTAGAATTAACAGACGTGTAACATTCATCATTCAATCCAACTATGTAGCATCCATGTCCATGGTAAATAGTGAAGGTACTTGTATAGTTTCCTTTCTAGTCTTCCGACCACTCAGCCACATTCACCCTTTCACACACATTCACTCAGTGATGCATCAGGAGTAATTTGGGGTTCAGTATCTTGCTCAAGGACACTGACATGTGGCAGGAGGAGCCGGGGATCAAACCAACAACCTTCCGATTAGGGGGACGACCCGCTCTGCCTCCGCGCAGCCCCAGTTAATGTATCGGGTACATTTGGCTGATAATAGCGTCACTAAAGTAACGCTGTGTAGCTTGTTTGCCTGTAGTCCTTTTACACTTACAGCTCTGAAAGATTCTTCCACTGCTGCTTCAAACACTCTCCAGACAAAGACACACAAACTGCCACACATCCACAAAGAACCTCCAAACTCAACCACGTCTGAACCCTTCCAGTAAAACAGGTGGACATTAGTCCATTATGAGAATAATCAATAGCTGCAGCCAATCAGCACTGACGGCTGCTGGGCCACAGACACAAATACTACAAACAGTACTTGAATAATTGTACTTAGTTACTCTCCACTAACACTTATATTTTTTATTGAAAATGAATCGGGTCCAAATATCAGTTATCGGTTTGATTATGAATAATCAGTCTGAAAACACCGTGCAAGTCTTTATTCGAATCAGTGTTCACCTGTAGAGCACCTGAGTACAGCTCAACACTTAACAGTGTGGATTTAAATAATATAACAGTGTGCAAGTTGTTACAATAATCAGACTGATGGTATATATTGATCAATAATCAGACTGTATAGTGTACTGATCAATAATCAGACTGTATAGTGTATTGATCAATAAGACTGTTTAGTGTATTGATCAATACTGTATAGTGTACTGATCAATAAGACTGTATAGTGTATTGATCAATAATCAGACTGATGGTATATATTTATTGATCAATAATCAGACTGTATAGTGTATTGATCAATAATCAGACTGATGGTATATATTTATTGATCAATAATCAGACTGTATAGTGTATTGATCAATAATCAGACTGTATAGTGTACTGATCAATAATCAGACTGTATAGTGTATTGATCAATAATCAGACTGATGGTATATATTTATTGATCAATAATCAGACTGTATAGTGTATTGATCAATAATCAGACTGTATAGTGTATTGATCAATAATCAGACTGATGGTATATATTTATTGATCAATAATCAGACTGTATAGTGTATTGATCAATAATCAGACTGTATAGTGTATTGATCAATAATCAGACTGTATAGTGTATTGATCAATAATCAGACTGATGGTATATATTTATTGATCAATAATCAGACTGATGGTATATATTTATTGATCAATAATCAGACTGTATAGTGTATTGATCAATAATCAGACTGTATAGTGTATTGATCAATAATCAGACTGATGGTATATATTTATTGATCAATAATCAGACTGATGGTATATATTTATTGATCAATAATCAGACTGATGGTATATATTTATTGATCAATAATCAGACTGTATAGTGTATTGATCAATAATCAGACTGATGGTATATATTTATTGATCAATAATCAGACTGTATAGTGTATTGATCAATAATCAGACTGTATAGTGTACTGATCAATAATCAGACTGTATAGTGTATTGATCAATAATCAGACTGATGGTATATATTTATTGATCAATAATCAGACTGTATAGTGTATTGATCAATAATCAGACTGTATAGTGTATTGATCAATAATCAGACTGATGGTATATATTTATTGATCAATAATCAGACTGTATAGTGTATTGATCAATAATCAGACTGATGGTATATATTTATTGATCAATAATCAGACTGATGGTATATATTTATTGATCAATAATCAGACTGTATAGTGTATTGATCAATAATCAGACTGATGGTATATATTTATTGATCAATAATCAGACTGTATAGTGTATTGATCAATAATCAGACTGATGGTATATATTTATTGATCAATAATCAGACTGATGGTATATATTTATTGATCAATAATCAGACTGTATAGTGTATTGATCAATAATCAGACTGATGGTATATATTTATTGATCAATAATCAGACTGTATAGTGTATTGATCAATAATCAGACTGATGGTATATATTTATTGATCAATAATCAGACTGTATAGTGTATTGATCAATAACTGATCATGTCTGAGGGTCTTTCAGTTCACATTAACGACTTGCTTTTTTTTAAATGCTCAGAAACTTTATTTAAACTTAAATTCAAACAAACGACTGTCAACATCTCTGAAGCTATGCTAACGCTAGCTGCTCCTTCCCATTAACCAACAGAAGACTGAAGCTATGCTAACGCTAGCTGCTCCTTCCCATTAACCAACAGAAGACTGAAGCTATGCTAACGCTAGCTGCTCCTTCCCATCAACCAACAGAGGACTGAAGCTATGCTAACGCTAGCTGCTCCTTCCCATTAACCAACAGAGGACTGAAGCTATGCTAACGCTAGCTGCTCCTTCCCATTAACCAACAGAAGACTGAAGCTATGCTAACGCTAGCTGCTCCTTCCCATCAACCAACAGAAGACTGAAGCTATGCTAACGCTAGCTGCTCCTTCCCATTAACCAACAGAGGACTGAAGCTATGCTAACGCTAGCTGCTCCTTCCCATTAACCAACAGAGGACTGAAGCTATGCTAACGCTAGCTGCTCCTTCCCATTAACCAACAGAGGACTGAAGCTATGCTAACGCTAGCTGCTCCTTCCCATTAACCAACAGAAGACTGAAGCTATGCTAACGCTAGCTGCTCCTTCCCATTAACCAACAGACGACTGAAGCTATGCTAACGCTAGCTGCTCCTTCCCATTAACCAACAGAAGACTGAAGCTATGCTAACGCTAGCTGCTCCTTCCCATTAACCAACAGAAGACTGAAGCTATGCTAACGCTAGCTGCTCCTTCCCATCAACCAACAGAAGACTGAAGCTATGCTAACGCTAGCTGCTCCTTCCCATCAACCAACAGAAGACTGAAGCTATGCTAACGCTAGCTGCTCCTTCCCGTTAACCAACAGAAGACTGAAGCTATGCTAACGCTAGCTGCTCCTTCCCATCAACCAACAGAAGACTGAAGCTATGCTAACGCTAGTGCTCCTTCCCATTAACCAACAGAGGACTGAAGCTATGCTAACGCTAGCTGCTCCTTCCCATTAACCAACAGAGGACTGAAGCTATGCTAACGCTAGCTGCTCCTTCCCATTAACCAACAGAGGACTGAAGCTATGCTAACGCTAGCTGCTCCTTCCCATTAACCAACAGAGGACTGAAGCTATGCTAACGCTAGCTGCTCCTTCCCATTAACCAACAGACGACTGAAGCTATGCTAACGCTAGCTGCTCCTTCCCATTAACCAACAGAAGACTGAAGCTATGCTAACGCTAGCTGCTCCTTCCCATTAACCAACAGAAGACTGAAGCTATGCTAACGCTAGCTGCTCCTTCCCATTAACCAACAGAAGACTGAAGCTATGCTAACGCTAGCTGCTCCTTCCCATTAACCAACAGACGACTGAAGCTATGCTAACACTAGCTGCTCCTTCCCATTAACCAACAGAGGACTGAAGCTATGCTAACGCTAGCTGCTCCTTCCATTAACCAACAGAAGACTGAAGCTTCTAACGCTAGCTGCTCCTTCCCATCAACCAACAGAAGACTGAAGCTATGCTAACGCTAGCTGCTCCTTCCCATCAACCAACAGAAGACTGAAGCTATGCTAACGCTAGCTGCTCCTTCCCATTAACCAACAGAAGACTGAAGCTATGCTAACGCTAGCTGCTCCTTCCCATTAACCAACAGAAGACTGAAGCTATGCTAACGCTAGCTGCTCCTTCCCATTAACCAACAGACGACTGAAGCTATGCTAACGCTAGCTGCTCCTTCCCATTAACCAACAGAAGACTGAAGCTATGCTAACGCTAGCTGCTCCTTCCCATTAACCAACAGAAGACTGAAGCTATGCTAACGCTAGCTGCTCCTTCCCATTAACCAACAGAAGACTGAAGCTATGCTAACGCTAGCTGCTCCTTCCCATTAACCAACAGAAGACTGAAGCTATGCTAACGCTAGCTGCTCCTTCCCATTAACCAACAGAAGACTGAAGCTATGCTAACGCTAGCTGCTCCTTCCCATTAACCAACAGAAGACTGAAGCTATGCTAACACTATCTGTCTTCCCATTAACCAACAGAAGACTGAAGCTATGCTAACGCTAGCTGCTCCTTCCATCAACCAACAGAAGACTGAAGCTATGCTAACGCTAGCTGCTCCTTCCCATTAACCAACAGAAGACTGAAGCTATGCTAACGCTAGCTGCTCCTTCCCATTAACCAACAGACGACTGAAGCTATGCTAACACAGCTGCTCCTTCCCATTAACCAACAGAGGACTGAAGCTATGCTAACGCTAGCTGCTCCTTCCCATTAACCAACAGAAGACTGAAGCTATGCTAACGCTAGCTGCTCCTTCCCATCAACCAACAGAAGACTGAAGCTATGCTAACGCTAGCTGCTCCTTCCCATCAACCAACAGAAGACTGAAGCTATGCTAACGCTAGCTGCTCCTTCCCATTAACCAACAGAAGACTGAAGCTATGCTAACGCTAGCTGCTCCTTCCCATTAACCAACAGAAGACTGAAGCTATGCTAACGCTAGCTGCTCCTTCCCATTAACCAACAGACGACTGAAGCTATGCTAACACTAGCTGCTCCTTCCCATTAACCAACAGAGGACTGAAGCTATGCTAACGCTAGCTGCTCCTTCCCATCAACCAACAGAAGACTGAAGCTATGCTAACGCTAGCTGCTCCTTCCCATCAACCAACAGAAGACTGAAGCTATGCTAACGCTAGCTGCTCCTTCCCATTAACCAACAGAGGACTGAAGCTATGCTAACGCTAGCTGCTCCTTCCCATTAACCAACAGAAGACTGAAGCTATGCTAACGCTAGCTGCTCCTTCCCATCAACCAACAGAAGACTGAAGCTATGCTAACGCTACAGCTAGCAGGCTAACGGTTAAACTTTATTTAAACGCTGCTTTAAAACAAACTAACAGCTGAACGAACCGGTACCGGTGGACTTTCTCTCTTTCACTGGGTTTTTCTGCAGTTTTCAGTTTTCTCCCGGTAGATAAAGAAAGGATGAAGGCAGAGGAGGAGGAGGAGGAGGAGGAGGAGGAGGTTCGCTGTTTTTCGGCGGTTTTCAGCCGCATTAACGCACCATGAAGCGGGTTATTTCAGCGGCAGACTCGCTGTCCGGTCACCGCGGTCCTCTACCGTCCTCCGCCGGGCTCATTTCCTCCTCTTCTCCGTGTTTTTCTCCTCCGTTTGCCCGGATACTCCTCCTGTCGTCCGGCTACGGAGCTAAACGGCTAACGGCTAACGGCTAACAGGGAGGGGCTTCCGCCGGAAACGGACAGTGGGAAAGAAGGGGGCGGGGCGGGGGGCTGCGAGGGGGGGGTATATATTAAAGTTCAGATTAAATTAAAAACTATATTTTAATTATTTGAGATCACATCCACTCATAACAACTTTATTAACACTGTACAAACACACAACTTTATTAACACTGTACAAACACACAACTTTATTAACACTGTACAAACACACAACTTTATTAACACTGTACAGACACAACTTTATTAACACTGTACAAACACAACTTTATTAACACTGTACAAACACACAACTTTATTAACACTGTACAAACACACAACTTTATTAACACTGTACAAACACACAACTTTATTAACACTGTACAAACACACAACTTTATTAACACTGTACAAACACAACTTTATTAACACTGTACAAACACACAACTTTATTATCACTGTACAAACACACAACTTTATTAACACTGTACAAACACACAACTTTATTAACACTGTACAAACACACAACTTTATTAACACTGTACAAACACAACTTTATTAACACTGTACAAACACACAACTTTATTAACACTGTACAGACACAACTTTATTAACACTGTACAAACACAACTTTATTAACACTGTACAAACACACAACTTTATTAACACTGTACAAACACAACTTTATTAACACTGTACAAACACACAACTTTATTAACACTGTACAAACACACAACTTTATTAACACTGTACAAACACACAACTTTATTAACACTGTACAAACACAACTTTATTAACACTGTACAAACACACAACTTTATTAACACTGTACAAACATAACTTTATTAACACTGTACAAACACACAACTTTATTAACACTGTACAAACACAACTTTATTAACACTGTACAAACACAACTTTATTAACACTGTACAAACACACAACTTTATTAACACTGTACAAACATAACTTTATTAACACTGTACAAACACACAACTTTATTAACACTGTACAAACACACAACTTTATTATCACTGTACAAACACACAACTTTATTAACACTGTACAAACACACAACTTTATTAACACTGTACAAACACAACTTTATTAACACTGTACAAACACAACTTTATTAACACTGTACAAACACACAACTTTATTAACACTGTACAAACATAACTTTATTAACACTGTACAAACACACAACTTTATTAACACTGTACAAACACACAACTTTATTAACACTGTACAAACACACAACTTTATTAACACTGTACAAACACACAACTTTATTAACACTGTACAGACACACAACTTTATTAACACTGTACAAACACACAACTTTATTAACACTGTACAAACACAACTTTATTAACACTGTACAGACACACAACTTTATTAACACTGTACAAACACACAACTTTATTAACACTGTACAAACACACAACTTTATTAACACTGTACAAACACACAACTTTATTAACACTGTACAGACACACAACTTTATTAACACTGTACAAACACACAACTTTATTAACACTGTACAGACACACAACTTTATTAACACTGTACAGACACACAACTTTATTAACACTGTACAAACACACAACTTTATTAACACTGTACAAACACAACTTTATTAACACTGTACAAACACACAACTTTATTAACACTGTACAAACACACAACTTTATTAACACTGTACAAACACAACTTTATTAACACTGTACAAACACAACTTTATTAACACTGTACAAACACACAACTTTATTAACACTGTACAAACACACAACTTTATTATCACTGTACAAACACACAACTTTATTAACACTACAAACACACAACTTTATTAACACTGTACAAACACACAACTTTATTAACACTGTACAAACAGAACTTTATTAACACTGTACGACCACACAACTTTATTAACACTGTACAAACACACAACTTTATTAACACTGTACAAACACACAACTTTATTAACACTGTACAAACAGAACTTTATTAACACTGTACGACCACACAACTTTATTAACACTGTACAAACAGAACTTTATTAACACTGTACGACCACACAACTTTATTAACACTGTACAAACACACAACTTTATTAACACTGTACAAACACAACTTTATTAACACTGTACAAACACACAACTTTATTAACACTGTACAAACACACAACTTTATTAACACTGTACAAACACACAACTTTATTAACACTGTACAAACACAACTTTATTAACACTGTACAAACACAACTTTATTAACACTGTACAAACACACAACTTTATTAACACTGTACAAACACAACTTTATTAACACTGTACAGACACACAACTTTATTAACACTGTACAAACACACAACTTTATTAACACTGTACAAACACAACTTTATTAACACTGTACAAACACACAACTTTATTAACACTGTACAAACAGAACTTTATTAACACTGTACAAACACACAACTTTATTAACACTGTACAAACACAACTTTATTAACACTGTACAAACACAACTTTATTAACACTGTACAAACACACAACTTTATTAACACTGTACAAACACACAACTTTATTAACACTGTACAAACACACAACTTTATTAACACTGTACAAACACAACTTTATTAACACTGTACAAACACACAACTTTATTAACACTGTACAAACACACAACTTTATTAACACTGTACAAACACAACTTTATTAACACTGTACAAACACACAACTTTATTATCACTGTACAAACACACAACTTTATTAACACTGTACAAACACACAACTTTATTGACACTGTACAAACACAACTTTATTAACACTGTACAAACACACAACTTTATTAACACTGTACAAACACAACTTTATTAACACTGTACAAACACACAACTTTATTAACACTGTACAAACACAACTTTATTAACACTGTACAAACACACAACTTTATTATCACTGTACAAACACACAACTTTATTAACACTGTACAAACACACAACTTTATTGACACTGTACAAACACAACTTTATTAACACTGTACAGACACAACTTAATTAACACTGTACAAACACACAACTTTATTAACACTGTACAAACACACAACTTTATTAACACTGTACAAACAGAACTTTATTAACACTGTACAAACACACAAGTTTATTATCACTGTACAAACACAACTTTATTAACACTGTACAAACACACAACTTTATTAACACTGTACAAACACACAACTTTATTAACACTGTACAAACACACAACTTTATTAACACTGTACAAACAGAACTTTATTAACACTGTACAAACACACAAGTTTATTATCACTGTACAAACACAACTTTATTAACACTGTACAAACACACAACTTTATTAACACTGTACAAACACAACTTTATTAACACTGTACAAACACACAACTTTATTAACACTGTACAAACACACAACTTTATTATCACTGTACAAACACACAACTTTATTGACACTGTACAAACACAACTTTATTAACACTGTAAAAACACACAACTTTATTAACACTGTACAAACACACAACTTTATTATCACTGTACAAACACACAACTTTATTAACACTGTACAAACACACAACTTTATTGACACTGTACAAACACAACTTTATTAACACTGTAAAAACACACAACTTTATTATCACTGTACAAACACACAACTTTATTAACAATGTACAAACACAACTTTATTAACACTGTACAAACACACAACTTTATTAACACTGTACAAACACACAACTTTATTAACAATGTACAAACACAACTTTATTAACACTCTACAAACACACAACTTTATTATCACTGTAAAATAATAAAATTTAACATGACTTAGAAAAAGTAAATAAATAAATAAATAAATAAAATAAAAACAAAAACAAACAATCAACAAGACACAAAATAAACAATCAACATTTTAAACAAGACATAAAACAAACAATTCTGTGGCAGGGGGTAGAGGGGGGGTGGGTGGGCAGAGGACGGAGTGACAGTAGAGCAGGGAGGGAGTTGAGTCTCCTGACAGCCTGGTGGAAGAAATTGTCCTTGAGCCTGCTGGTTTTGGCCTGGAGACTGCGCAGTCTCCTCCCTGACGGCAGCAGGCTGAAGAGGCTGTGAGATGGGTGGGTGGAGTCACCTGCAATCAAATTGCTTTGCTGGTGATTCAGGTGTTATAAATGTCCAGAAGTGGGAGGAGAGAGACACCAATGATCCTCTTAGCTGCTCTCACGATGCGTTGCAGAGTCTTGCGGCAGGACACGGTGCAGGCGCCATACCACACGGTGATGCAGCTTGTCAGGATGCTCTCTGTAGAAAGTGTGTATGATGGGGGGCGGGGCTCCTGCTCTTCTCAGTTTGCGGAGGAAGTACAGGCGCTGTTGGGCTTTTTTGGCCAGTGATGCAGTGTTGTGGCTCCAGGACAGGTCTTCAGAGATATGCACAGCCAGGAACTTGGTGCTGCTCACCCTCTCCACTGCAACACCGTCGATGGTTAGCGGAGTATGCTGGGTGTGTTATCACTGTACAAACACACAACTTTGCGATCTGCAGGGATCAACATTAGTTTGGATCCAAATTAACGTTTTAAAACACCAAAGTTACAAAACAACAACACAAACAAATTGACATTCTGGGAGCTAAAATTAGTCTGGCTTTAAAGAGCAACATATAATGACATCAGTTCCTGTCTTTGAATTTAGCCCTGCCCTATCCGACTCTCTTACTACGTTTCCCATCAGTAAACTGGACAGACGACAAAAAATAGATTGACCGATTATTGATTATTGACTATTGGTATTGATATTTCTGAATTTTAAATCAGCTGTTATTTATTACACATGAACATTGATATAAACAGTTTATGGGGTGAGGAACCTGTAAGAACACCTGTAAACTCTCAGCCAATAGGAGCAGAGTGTGGGCGGGGCTTGTAGCAGAAGAATGAAGAAAGTTTCTGTCCAACCGGTTAGTGACAGACAGACGGATGTTAGGTGGTATTATTATTATTATTATTATTATTATTATTATTATTATTATTAGGAAAGTATTACCACAAACTCTTCATGCTCTTATTGATCATTGATTTTACAAATAATATAAAGCATTAATGATTGTTAAAGGACAGAAAGAAACAAACAAACAAATAACAGACGAGATTTAATTTACACAAAATAAAACCAGAAATAAAAGAGAGAGAGAACAGGGGGAGAGAGAGAGAGAGAGAGAGAGAGAGAGAGAGAGAGAGAGAGAGGGCGAGAGAGACAGAGAGAGAGAGAGAGAGCGAGAGAGACAGAGAGAGAGGGAGTGTCAGCAGGTTGAACAGGTTTGGGCGAGGCGGTCGAGCGAGGTTCATACACAGTGAAAAGGAGAGAGAGACAGATTTTTCCTTCAGTTTGTGACTTTGAGTTTCCAGCAGCAGCGAGGGAAGAAGAAACAGGACAAAAACAGCAGAAGAAGTTTGTGTCTTCAACGTTCAAGAGGAAGAAGAAGAAGAAGAAGAAGAAGAAGAAGAAGAAGGTGGCAGCTGTGAACAGGTGAGTGAGGTCCGACACTGGGCGGTAAAAGGAGCAAACAGAAAGTTTATTGTCTCCTCTAAATCAGACTTTGGGTTAGTTACTGAAGTCACCGGTTCACAACAGGAGGTCTAAAACCTAGTGTGTGTAGTTTCTGCCACTAGGGGGTCTCTGACATCCAATCTATAAGAAAACAGGAAGTTAGATGAGGTGGTGAAGCAGCGTGGGATTATGGGAGTTGTTGTCTTCACCACCATTGGCGTCATTGCAGTCAGCTTCTCCCGGTTAGGATTCCTGCAGTGTTCATGGTTCAGGAGGTTTCTACCGGGAGCCCAATGATCCACAGAGGTCTCCTCCTCTCCAACACAAACAGACCCGCTGATTAAAACCACTAAACACACTGAATAAAGCAGTTCCACCTTAAACACACTGAATAAAGCAGTTCCACCTTAAACACACTGAATAAAGCAGTTCCACCTTAAAACGCTGTTGGGTAGGGATGTAAAGAAATATTAATATTATTAATATTGTATGGCCATATTTTATTTAGTGACTTTCTGTGTTTGGACCTCCAACAGCTGACAGCAGTAAACGGATCCACTGTTCTGGTTAACTTCTTTTAAACTCGTTCTTTAATAAAAATATTACAATATATCTTCTTGATTACAGTATTCAATATATTGAACCGTAACCTCGCCTCGCTAACGCTAACTTTAGCTCTGATCACCACCAAAAAACCACCAAGATCTAAACAGTGGCTAAAGCTAACAGGTCCCAGGTTAAATCGTGCTAATGATTATAGATTATTGATTTAACGTCTTCGTTCTCTCTCTCTCTCTCTCTTCTCCACAGAGCTCTCTTGCCCTGATTGCCTTGTGTGTCCCGATTGGTTGATTAATCGGTCACCTTCCTGTGACATACCGCCATGTCGTCAAACATCAACATCTCCCTGGAGAACCCGTACGGCGATGTGACCATCCCCCGGGCCAAGCTCCGCCCCTCCGATGACATCGCCACAGTGATAGCCAATCCGATGGCTCTCAGCAGTAACGACGAGAACCCGTACGCCGTGTCCAGCTCCGCCCCCCCACCGCCATACGTGGTGAAGGAAGCTGGAGGGGAGGAGGAGGAGGAGGGGCGGAGCCGCGTCTGCTGCTACCGCTGCAGGAGGAGGAAGTGATGTCACAGCGACAGGAGGACTGTGATTGGCTAGAATTTATTTATTTCCTGTTTCCGTCCTTTCACCGAGGAAACAACAAAGGAAACAAGGAAGCAACTGAGGAAGAAACAATGAACAGAGAAATAAATGAAGGAAGGAAAGGTCATGAAGTTGTTTCCTCAGTGGCGGCCATTTTCTGCCTCCATCAGCTAGCTAGCTCAGTTAGCAGTTAGCAATAGCATTAAGCTAACAGTTGAGGCAGAGAAGCTGCAGACATCAAAACAAACAAATCACTTCCTGTCCTCCATCTGCCACAGCAACAGTGACCTGGCTCCATCATCATCATCATCTTCATCATAAATACAAAGTCAGATTTGTGACATACAAAATGGCCGCCACTGAACCGTGACACCCGTTAAAGTTAATTTCTCTGCTGATGAAACGCTTTGATGCAGTTTGAGAGACATTAGAATAAATATTCAGTTGTTTTTTAATTTATTATTCAATTAATTAATAATTAATCAAGACTAAAAACTCACCTATTCAGAACTGCTTACCCCACTTAACTCTCTACATTGTCTTTTCTTACTGTTTTTATTTTTATGTGTTGTACGGTGTCCTCGAGTGCCCAGAGAGGCGCCTTTAAATAAAATGTATTATTATTATTATTATTATTATTATTGATTTTGATTTTTCATCAGGAAACATTTTGGAAATAATTTTAAATTAGTGTAAAATGAAATGTTTTTGTATAAACTTTATAAATTTACGAAAACAGATTTTAGATTTTTGTTTATGATCATTTCATGAACACATTCTGCTAACGAACAACTTGTGAGGGAAGATGTTTTTGGACTTTATATATATATTATATTATATATATTATACACTATTTCAGAGGAAATTATTATTTGTTTCAGGAAGTGTTGCAAAGTATCCATAAAGTATTTATATTTTTTCATAACAATGACTTTGAATATTTTAGTATGAAGGAGTTTTAAAGTATAAATGCAAGAAAAAGTCTCTTTAGAAAATAATATATGGAATCAAATGTGTTAATTGATATTGTTTGGTGTCACTGGGGATCATTGTTGTATTAAACATATTTACACCATCTACTACCAATGATTCATTACTCTCAACTATTTTACATGCAAGCACTGACATTGAAACAAATCTTTGAATCAGAATTATTTAAATAATCACATCATATATCTGAGTTCTACTTGTGTTTTATTTTATGATAATATAACACATTTTTACAGCAATATTAATGTCTATATACTATATATATATATATGGTAGTATAGTATGTGTATATGTCTATCTGTCCGTCTGTCTGTCGCTAGGCAACCTGGTCAGTCCACACTGAGCTGTAACCTGATAGGCCGACAGCAGCAGCCAATAGAAACCTGAGAGCAGGTCCACTTTCTATAGGCTGATCAGATTACAGATGAGATTATTGATCCTTTAACCTGCTGAACAATAATTCAATATGATTTATGTTAAGTTGTATTGAATGTATTCTTTCCAGTTATTTATAAGTTATTAATTAATGGTAAACTGTGAAATCTGAATGTTTATTGTTGATATTTGTTTTGCTTGTTAACGGCAGTATTGGACTCTTTTTATTCAACTTATAAACTGAATTTATTGTTTCGACTGATATAATAATATGTTTCTATCAATAATAACAATTTTGTGTCACCCAGCTTCTGTCGGCCGAGAGAGGCTGAATTATTGATGAAGCTCTCTCTCTCTCTCTCTGGCTTCAAACAGCAGAACGGTTAGAACGAACAGACTGAGAAGAAGAGATAACTACAAAGAAGAAAGAAAAGGAGGTGGAGAGAAAAAACAACAACAAAGAAAAACTGAAGGAATTGAAAGAGTGAAAGACAAAAGGAGAAGGAATAAAAGATCAAAAGAGGATGAGAGGAGACCGAAAACTGGAATAAAAGACGGAGAAGAAATGAGAAACAATAAGAGTGGGCAGGATACATAAACAAGAAGAAGAAAAAGAGAGGGAATAAAAAAGAGGAAGAGGAGATGTGATGTGAAGAAAGAAGATGAACAACAAGGTAAGTTTCTGTTTCCTTTCAAAATCTGACCAATCAGAGTGCAGCAGGTAAAGATCTGTTATAAAATCGTCTGATTGGGCGATTTCTATCAACACGAACAGGAAGTATCGTTAGCTTTCTACCACTACATCATTGATTGGCTTAAAACCAACAGAATCAGAATCACAAGTTAGTATCATGGATCATGTTAGCTAGGGAAGCTAACATTAGCCAACTAATATATCCTTTCAGGTAGTATTAAGCTAGCAATAACGTTAGCAATCAAGCTAAAATTAACCCAGGCACGCTGAATAATGTTATCCGGCGCCAGCCGACAATGTAGCCTGATCAGCCTCAGGAGTCTGGATGAAGCTAGCTGACGTTAACTGCTCGCACTGCAGGCGGCCGGTGATGTCACCAAAAACTGTATGCATCATCACTGAGCAGCAACCACTGCAGTTCCTCTGACGGCCACTGGAGGCTGCCATTCAATATTAACATCTATCAATATTCTTCCAATGATTCCAACACTTTCTCTCGTCATCAGGAGAAAATGTCTGACGACATAAAAAAAGAAGAGGAAGAGGAAGTGACCTGTCAGGCGCTCCCCCCAACTCCCCCCTCTGTTGCCATGGAGACAATGATGTCACTGAGGAGGCAAGACCTGGTGTGCATCGTGTGCTTCGGAAGCTACGACCTGGCTACGCGGTTACCGCGGCGACTGCACTGTGGCCACGCCTTCTGCCAGGCGTGTCTGAAGAGATTGGACACGGTCATCAACGAACAGGTGACATCATCACCCCTTACCTGAGAGTACAAATACTGCGACATTCAGGGTACAAATACTGCGACAGACCACAAATACTGCGACATTAAGAGTAGAAATACTGCGACAGAGTACAAATACTGCAACATTCAAAACACAAATACTACAACATTCAGGGTACAAATACTGTGACATCCAGGGTACAAATACTGCGACAGACCACAAATACTGCGACATTAAGAGTAGAAATACTGCGACAGAGTACTAATACTGCGACATTCAAAACACAAATACTACAACATTCAGGGTACAAATACTGCGACATTCAGGGTACAAATACTGCAACAGACCTCAAATACTGCGACATTAAGAGAACAAATACTGCGACATTCAGAGTACAAATACTGCGACATTCAGGGTACAAATACTGTGACATCCAGGGTACAAATACTGCGACAGACCACAAATACTGCGACATTAAGAGTAGAAATACTGCGACAGAGTACAAATACTGCGACATTCAGGGTACAAATACTGCGACAGACCACAAATACTGCGACATTAAGAGTAGAAATACTGCGACAGAGTACAAATACTGCAACATTCAAAACACAAATACTACAACATTCAGGGTACAAATACTGTGACATCCAGGGTACAAATACTGCGACAGACCACAAATACTGCGACATTAAGAGTAGAAATACTGCGACAGAGTACAAATACTGCGACATTAAGAGTAGAAATACTGCGACAGAGTACAAATACTGCAACATTCAAAACACAAATACTACAACATTCAGAGAACAAATACTGCGACATTCAGGGTACAAATACTGCGACAGACCTCAAATACTGCGACATTAAGAGAACAAATACTGCGACATTCAGAGTACAAATACTGCGACTTTCAAAACACAAGTACTGCGACATTCAGAGAACAAATACTGCGACATTTAGAGCACAAATACTGCGACATTAAAAAAACAAATACTGCTACATTCAGAGTACAACTACTGCGACATTCAGGGTACAAATACCGCGACAGACCACAAATACTGCGACATTCAGGGTACAAATACTGCGATATTAAAAACACAAATACTGCGACATTTAGGGTACAAATACTGCGACTTTCAAAACACAAATACTGCGACAGACAACAAATACTGGGACATTAAAAACACAAATACTGCGACACTCAGGGTACAAATACTGCGACAGACAACAAATACTGGGACATCCAAAACACAAATACTACGACATTCAGGGTACAAATACTGCGACATTCAGGGTACAAATACTGCGACATCCAGGGTACAAATACTGCGACTTTCAAAAAACAAATACTGCGACATTCAGAGTACATATACTGCGACACTCAGGGTTAGGGTACAAATACTCTGACAGGCCACAAATACTGCGACATCCAAAACACAAATACTGTGACATTCAAAACACAAATACTGCGACGTTCTGGGTACATATACTGCCACATTCAGAGCACAAATACTGCGACATTCAGGGTACATATACTGCGACTTTCAAAACACAAATACTGCAACATTCAGAGCACAAATACTGCGACATTCAGAGCACAAATACTGCGAAAGACCACAAATACTGTGACATTCAGAGAACAAATACTGCGACATTCAGAGTACAACTACTGCGACATTCAGGGTACAAATACTGCGACTTTCAAAACACAAATACTGCGACATTCAGGGTACAAATACTGCGACATCCAGGGTACAAATACTGTGCCTTTCAAAACACTAATATTGTGACATTCAGGGTACAAATACTGCGACAGACCACAAATACTGCGACATTCAGTGTACAAATACTGTGACTTTCAAAACACAAATACTGTGACATTCAGGGTACAAATACTGCGACATTCAGAGCACAAATACTGCCACATTCAGGGTACAAATACTGCGACATTAAACACACAAATACTGCAACATTAAAAAAACAAAGACTGCGACATTCAAAACGCAAATACTGTGACATTCAGAGTACAAATACTGCGACATTCAGAGCACAAATACTGCGACATTCAAAAACAAATACTGCGACATTCAGGGTACAAATACTGCGACACTCAGGGTTCAAATACTGCGACAGACCACAAATACTGGGACATCCAAAACACAAATACTACGACATTCAGGGTACAAATACTGTGACATTCAGGATACAAATACTGCGACATCCAGGGTACATATACTGCGACTTTCAAAACACAAATACTGCAACATTCAGAGCACAAATACTGCGAAAGACCACAAATACTGTGACATTCAGAGAACAAATACCGCGTCATTAAGAGTAGAAATACTGCGGCAGAGTACAAATACTGCGACATTCAAAACACAAATACTGCGACATTTAGGGTGCAAATACTGCGACAGACCACAAATACTGCGACATTCAGAGAACAAATACTGTGACATTCAGAGTACAACTACTGTGACATTCAGGGTACAAATACTGCGACATTCAGAGTACAACTACCGCGACATTCAGGGAGAAACACTGGGACAGACCACAAATACTGCGACATTCAGAGTACAAATACTGCGACATTCAGAGTACAAATACCGCGACATTTAGGGTACAAATACTGCGACAGACCACAAATACTGCGACATTTAAACCACAAATACTGCAACATTCAAAACACAAATACTGCGACATTAAGAGTAGAAATACTGCGACAGAGTACAAATACTGCGACATTCAAAACACAAATACTGCGACATTCAGGGTGCAAATACTGCGACAGACCACAAATACTGCGACATTCAGAGTACAACTACTGCGACATTCAGGGTACAAATACCGCGACAGACCACAAATACTGCGACATTCAGGGGACAAATACTGCAACATTCAAAACACAAATACTGCGACATTCAAAACACAAATACTGCGACATTCAGAGTACAAATACTGCGACAGACCACAAATACTGCGACATTCAGAGCACAAATACCGCGACATTAAGAGTAGAAATACTGCGGCAGAGTACAAATACTGCGACATTCAAAACACAAATACTGCGACATTCAGGGTGCAAATACTGCGACAGACCACAAATACTGCGACATTCAGGGGACAAATACTGCAACATTCAAAACACAAATACTGCGACATTCAAAACACAAATACTGCGACATTCAGAGTACAAATACTGCGACAGACCACAAATACTGCGACATTCAGAGCACAAATACCGCGACATTAAGAGTAGAAATACTGCGGCAGAGTACAAATACTGCGACATTCAAAACACAAATACTGCGACATTTAGGGTGCAAATACTGCGACAGACCACAAATACTGCGACATTCAGAGAACAAATACTGCGACATTCAGAGTACAACTACTGTGACATTCAGGGTACAAATACTGCGACATTCAGAGTACAACTACCGCGACATTCAGGGTACAAACACTGGGACAGACCACAAATACTGCGACATTCAGAGTACAAATACTGCGACATTTAGGGTACAAATACTGCGACATTGAAAACACAAATACTGCGACATACTGTGACAGACCACAAATACTGCGACATTCAGACTACAAATACTGCGACATTCAGAGTACAAATACCGCGACATTTAGGGTACAAATACTGCGACAGACCACAAATACTGCGACATTTAAACCACAAATACTGCAACATTCAAAACACAAATACTGCGACATTCAAAACACAAATACTGCGACATTCAGAGTAGAAATACTGCGACAGAGAACAAATACTGCAACATTCAAAACACAAATACTTCACTACGATCAACATTAGACTCTATCGCTCCTTTAAAAAGGAAATTATTAAAACATAGGAGATTAGCACCATGGTACAACCACCAAACCCGCCAGTTAAAGCAAATAGCTAGGAAATCTGAAAGGAAATGGCGCTCTTCCAAATTATCAGAATATCGCTCAATTTGGCAAGATAATCTTAAAACTTATAGAAAGGCCCTCCGTAATGCCAGAGGAGCCTATTACTCAGCACTAATAGAAGAAAATAAGAATAACCCTAGGTTCCTCTTCAGCACTGTAGCCAGGCTGACAGAGAGTCACAGCTCTATCGAGCCACATATCCCCATAAACTTAAGTAGCAATGACTTCATGAGCTTCTTCTATAATAAAATTATTACTATTAGAGAAAAAATGAATCACCAACTGCCATCAACAGTTATCAGTGGCTCTCCAAGTTCAGGGACTTTTGCTAATGTAAACTTAGATATATATTTAGACTATTTTTCTGCTATCGATCTTCATCAGTTAACTTCAATCATTTCTTCATCGAAGCCATCAACCTGTCTGTTGGACCCGATCCCAACTAGGCTGCTTAAAGAAGTCGTACCCTTAATTGGCACTTCTTTACTGGATATGATTAATCTTTCTTTATTATCAGGATATGTACCACAGTCCTTTAAAGTAGCTGTAATTAAACCCCTTCTTAAAAAGCCCACCCTTGACCCAGGGGTTTTAGCCAATTATAGACCGATTTCTAACCTCCCCTTCCTCTCTAAGATTCTGGAGACAGTAGTCGCCAAAGAGTTGTGTGACTTTCTACATAACAATAGTTTATTTGAGGATTTTCAGCCAGGATTTAGAGTCCATCACAGCACAGAGACAGCTCTGGTTAAAGTTAATAATGACCTTCTGATTGCTTCTGACAATGGACTTGTCTCTGTACTTGTATTATTAGATCTTAGTGCTGCATTTGACACCATTGACCATGATATTCTTTTACAGAGACTTGAGCATCAAATTGGCATTAAAGGAACCGCACTAAGCTGGTTTAAGTCATATTTATCAGATCGTTCACAGTTTGTACATGTTAACGATGAATCTTCAATAAATACTACAGTTAGTCATGGAGTTCCACAAGGTTCTGTACTTGGACCAATACTATTTACTTTATATATGCTCCCTTTAGGCAACATTATTAGGAATCACTCCATTAACTTTCACTGTTATGCAGATGATACGCAGTTATATCTATCGATCAAGCCCGATGAAATGAATCAATTATCTAAATTACAAACATGTCTTAAGGACATAAAATCCTGGATGAGCTGCAATTTTCTGATGTTAAACTCAGAAAAAAAACGAAATTCTTGTTCTTGGCCCCAAAAACCTTAGAGACTCACTGTCTGAAGATATAGTTACTTTAGATGGCATTATCTTGGCCTCTAGCACTTCTTGGAGTTATCTTTGATGAGGATTTGTCTTTTAACTCCCACATAAAGCAGACCTCTAGGACCGCCTTCTTTCATTTATGTAATATTACAAAAATTAGACACATCCTATCACAGATAGATGCAGAAAAACTAATCCATGCATTTGTTACTTCAAGGCTGGATTACTGCAACTCTTTATTATCAGGTTGCCCCAATAAGTCCATTAAAACGCTCCAATTAATTCAGAACGCTGCAGCACGAGTACTGACAGGAACTAGAAAAGATCACATCTCTCCTGTACTAGCTTCTCTGCATTGGCTCCCTGTAAAAAATGTAGAAAAGAATTTAAAATCCTCCTCCTCACCTATAAAGCTCTTCATGGTCAGGCCCCTTCATATCTTAAAGAGCTCATAGTACCCTATTACCCCACTAGAACACTACGTTCTCTGAATGCTGGGCTACTTGTGGTTCCTATAGTCTCTAAAAGTAGAACAGGAGCCAGAGCCTTCAGTTACCAAGCTCCTCTCCTGTGGAACCAGCTTCCAGTTGTGGTTCTGGAGGCAGACATCCTCTCTACATTCAAGAGTAGGCTTAAGACATTCCTCTTTGATAAAGCTTATAGTTAGGGCTGGATCAGGTGAGTCCTGAACCATCCCTTAGTTATGCTGCTATAGGCCTAGACTATCGGGGGATTTCCCATGGTGCACTGAGCTCCTCTCTTCCTCTCTCTTTCTGCACTCATTCATGTTCCATTAATGCATGTTACTAACTTCACTTCTTCCTCGGAGTTCTTGTGCTTTCTTGTCTCGCAGGTTCTTATCGATCCTGGTGGAGCCTCCTGCCATGGTCCTGCTAGATTGCCATTGCCAATACTGTTGTTGCTGTGCGTCTGTCTGTCTGTCTGTCTGTCTCACCCCAACTGGTTGAGGCAGACGACCACCCACCTAGAGCCAAAGGATCTGTCCTAGGTTTCTGCCTTTTAACAGGCAGTTTTTCCTTGCCCTTGTCGCCTAGTGCTTGCTCATGGTGGTACTGTTGGGTCTCTGTAATTAATGTTGAAGAGTTCGGTCTAGACCTGCTTTATTTGAAAAGTGTCCTGAGATAACTTCTGTTATGAATTGGCGCTATACAAATAAAACTGAATTGAATTGAACTGAAGTGAAAAATACTGCAACATTCAAAACACAGATACTCGGCAGAGTACAAATACTGCGACATTCAGGGTACAATTACTGCGACATTCAGAGCACAAATACTGCGACAGAGTACAAATACTGCGACAGAGTACAAATACTGCGACATTCAGGGTACAAATACTGCAAAATTCAAAACACAAATACTGCGACATTCAAAACACAAATACTGCCACATTCAAAACACAAATACTGCGACATTGAGAGTACAAATACTGTGACACACAGTACAAATACTGTAGACAGACAAGACGGAGTACAAGACTTACTGTAATCAGACCCCTCCGTCCCTTCCCAGGTGTGGATCCCGTGCCCTCAGTGCAGACAGAACACGCCTCGGCCCAGAGGAGGAGCAGCGGGGCTGGACCTGGATCTGGTCTCCTTCCTGGGTGTGAAGGCCCAGCAGACCTGCTCATCCACCTGGAGCTCCAGCTGCAGGGAGGGGGCTCAAACCGGAGACGCAGCCCGGGATGGGAAGCTGTGGCTGGGGAAGGAGGTCACAGATGATGGCTGGTCACACGGAGGTCTGGCTGAGCCACGTTTCCATCGCTACGGCAACTGCTGCCCGCTGCCATCCTATTGGTTGTGCTGCTGGCTGTGCTGCCCGGGGCGGGGGTAGGACTGACCAATCAGAGTTACTGTCCTTTAGTGTTGATTGGTTTATTATTTAGTTTAATTATAGTATGAAAGTATGAAGTATGAAAATGTGCAGTACACACAAATATACTATTAATACGAGTACTATAAAAAGGTACAATCCGTGGAATAAAGACGATGCTGCTGTGAAAGAAATATTTATTCAGAATTACATATTTTACAAAAGAAGCAACATTTAGCATTCATTAGCATTATTTTACAGCTTCCTGACAAAACACAGGCTTCCTGTTGGTTTTTACCAATCAGGTCCTTCAGACACATCTGATAGCTAACAGCTAACAGCTCTGATTGGACAGCAAGAAGTGACAATAAAGTTTCAAACATTCAAAGCGTTTCAGTGGACGGAAGAACTTTTTATTTCACTTTGTGTCAATTTGTTTGTTTGTTAAATAATATCAAATGTTTGTTCAGTTTCTGGGTGAGCAACATAAAGTAAAGACAGAACAGAGAGAGAGAGAGAGAGAGAGAGAGAGGGGAGGGGGACGGGGGGGAGAGAGAGAGAGAGAGAGAGAGAGAGAGAGAGAGAGAGAGAGAAAGAGAGAGAGGTTTGGCATTTCCGCCTTCATGAGGCACAAGACATTCTGGGAGTTTGAGTCCTTGTCATAAATACATTGTTAAGTCCTTCCCAGCTTCTTTGTTACAGACAAAATTACCAACAATGCCTTTAACTCCTAAAATGTGTATTGGATGAGTCTCCAGCAGTTCCTCATCATCAGGCTCCTCCCTCTGAGTCTGCAGCTCGGCCAATCAGAGGCTGCCGAGCCCCTCTCCCACTCTGATTCGCTGTCCTGGCTGCAGGTTGAAGATGAAATCTTTGGGAGCTTCGAACAGCAGAACGATGGTGGAGCCGAGGTTAAACTCGCCCACCGCCTCCCCCTTCTGTAAGGCCACGCCCCCTCCGTCAACAGAGACCACGCCCCCTTCACCTGCCACATTAAACACCTGGTTGGCGGCGGCAACATAGCTGTGATCGTGGAAGGATCCTTTACTGTAGCGCGGAGCGTTGGTCTGAAGCTCCTGAGGATGATCAGATAATAAACTATTAAAAATATTAGTTTAAAAAAACTGAAATGATAAGAACTCAAAACTAATTTTAAAACGTTCAGATTTTCTGAATCAAAATGAAAAATAATCTAAAACATTAATTTCCTACAAATACTGAACTAATAACTGAATAAAAATCTTAAAGTACTACTGCAGTACAAATACCTGGTCGAAGTAGACCCTGATGGAACCGACGTTTGTGGCTCCCACCGCCGTTAATGAGAAGAAGCCGTGCTGCCATTGGCCGGTGAGCACCACACGCTCGTTAAGGCAGAAGAGCTCTTTGACCAAACGAGCCACGCCCGGGTTAACCGACATTAACGAGCCTAACGAGGACAGAGAGAGAGCTGAAGAGCAGGTAGACAGCACACAGCACACAGGTGAACAGGTGAACACACTCACCTGGGAAGTGTCGTCGAAGCTCCACCCTCCAGTCTGTGGGCGAATGGAAACAGTGGTAGTCACCTGGAGCCAGGTAGACCACCACGTGGAACAGCTCATTATCAGGAGACGACAGCAGGAGGTCCCGAAAGGACGACGAGGACTCTAAAGACAGAACAGAGTCACTCAGGTTGTGAACCCAACAGGTCTCCAATCAAGACAGGTTCATTCCAAGTCCTGAACTGTGTCTTGAGTCCAGACATTTTACAGTTTTAAACTTGCTGTTGGTTCAGGACACATTGAATATCATTGTTTGTTTTATTATTTGTTTCTTTGTTCAGGGTCAGTGCATCATGGGAAGTTCCCCGGCAGTCTAGGCCTAAACCAGTAGGTGGTCCAGGACTCACTATAAGTGTGTTTATATTGGTTGATTCACATGGGCTCAGGGTCCTACCGTTGCCCAGCCTCTTCTGTGGACCCAGGAAGTTCTCCAGACTGTAGGTGACCCCCTTCACCTGCTCCACCTCTGAGTTCTTGACCCGACCAAAGTGGAGGATCCTCCCGTCAGCTGGAGAGATCTGACCGACAGAAAACCTCAGTTTAATAACTTCTGACAATAAAACATAGATTGCACTCAAATCACACTGCTGTCTTCCTGGAACACACACATAATCATATATCAAGTATTCATTATAAATGAGTTAATATACCAGAATTATATTATAATTAAGAAAGATAAGAAATGACAAAGACTCTCATCAGCGTCTGAATCCCTCTCTCCCTTTAACGGGCCGAGGCAGTTGGCCGCCCACCCAGAGCCGGGTCTGTCCAACTGTGAGCCTATCGGGACATCACCCATTGGTTTGTTGAGAACCATTCTGAAGCTGCCAGTTCGGCGTTTTGGCCACTGCCAGGACAGTTAGTCAGAGCCAGCGGAGGTCACGTCAAGCGAGTTGAGACTGAAACTAGAGTCAGCGACCAGAAACTCATCAGGAAACTGTTTACTGAGCTCATTGTCCATTAGAGTGAATGGGATCAGCTTATATTGCAGCCAGTGGAGCTCCCTCTGCTGGCCTTCACATAGAATGCAGCTTTAACACACTGTACGTTATATACAGCACCACCGGAGCACCACAGGGGACTGTGCTCTCTCCCGTCCTGTTCACCTTGTATATATATATATATATATATATATATATTTTTTATCTTTTATTTATTTTTTAATTCTATTCTTAAGGTTAGGGTTTTTAATTTTAGTTTAATGTATGTTTAATGTATGTTTTGTTTTTGTATGCTACTGGATACTTGAATTTCCCTCGAGATAAATAAAGTATCTATCTATCTATACACTGTCATTATATATACTGTCATTATATATTCAGTCATTATATATACTGTCATTATATAAAGTCATTATATATACTGTCATTATATAAACAGTCATATAAATAGTCATTATATATACTGTCATTATATATACTGTCATTATATAAAGTCATTATATATACTGTCATTATATAAACAGTCATTATATACACTGTCATTATATACAGTCATTATATATACTGTCATTATATACTGTCATTATATACACAGTCATTATATAAACAGTCATTAAATATACTGTCATTATATAAAGTCATTATATATACTGTCATTATATGCACAGTCATTATATAAACAGTCATTATATATACTGTCATTATATAAAGTCATTATATATACTGTCATTATATACACAGTCATTATATACACAGTTATTATATACACAGTTATTATATATACTGTCATTATATATACTGTCATTATATACACTGTCATTATATATACTGTATTATATAAACAGTCATTATATATACTGTCATTATATATTTTGTCCGATGTTTCTGTCTGAAAGTGTCCTGAGATAATGTCCGTTATTAATTGGTGCTATACAAATAAAACTGAATTTAACTGAGAAATCATAGAAAGATATATATATATTAAAAAAAAGAGAAACAAAAAGGGAGGAGTGTTACCAGACAGGAGGAGGCACAGAGTGGTCTGACTGCAGGTTTGAGACGTCGACGGAAGAATTCACCCAAATTCCTGTAGTGATGTAAATCCTCCACCGCTGCTTCCTATTGGACGACACACAGATTATTATTGATTATTGCACGTCTCCATAAATGAACCAGGTGTTCCTTACAGAGAGCTTGTCACATCTGGACCCTGACAAGCCCAGATGTCGACAAGACTAATGTTAGCAAAGTGTGGCTCGCCAACAATGCCGAAACATGATTTACAGGGCACCATCTAAGTCTAGAAGACATTTGGACTCTGTAAGAAGGAAGGCAAATTGGACAGAAGTCCAGTTGGGCGAGGTCTAAAGTAATCACTGCAGGAAGTCTGTCTGTTGGAAAAGCAACAATAACAAAATCAGAAATGAAAATGTTCAGTGTTGGTGCTGATCAATATATCAGTCAATATACTGTTAGTGATCAATATATCTAATTATAATCTAATCTAATCTAATTATACTTATAGAGTTATATATAGTTATATATAGAGTTATAGTTATATAGAGTTATATATAGAGTTATATAGTTATATAGAGTTATACATAGTTATATAGTTGTATAGTTATATAGAGTTATAGTTATATATAGATTTCTATAGTTAAATAGAGTTATACATAGAGTTATATAGAGTTATATAGTTATATATAGTTATACATAGTTGTATAGTTGTATATAGTTATAAATAGAGTTATATATAGTTATACAGTTATATAGTTATATATAGAGTTACAGAGTTATATAGAGTTATATACAGTCACACAGTGTTTAATTATATAGTTATATAGAGTTATATATAGTTATATATAGAGTTATATACAGTCATAGTGTTTAATTATATAGTTATAGAGTTATATATAGTTATATATAGAGTTATATACAGTCATACAGTGTTTAATTATATAGTTATATATAGAGTTATATACAGTCACACAGTGTTTAATTATACAGTTATATATAGTTATATATATAGTTATATAGAGTTATATACAGTCATACAGTATTTAATTATATAGTTATATAGAGTTAAATATAGTTATATATACAGTTATATATAATTATATATAGAGTTATATACAGTCATACAGTGTTTAATTATATAGTTATATAGTTATATACAGTCATACAGTGTTTAATTATATAGTTATATAGTTATATACAGTCATACAGTGTTTAATTATATTGTTATATAGAGTTATATATAACTTTATATAAGTCTATATATAACTCTATAACTCTATATATAACTCCATCCTGACACAAACGACCACCTGGATCAATCCAATCTAAAATGTTAAAATAAGCTACAAACTAAGAAGAGAATATCAACAAAAAACATGGTCTTGACCTGCATGTTGACCCCAAAGGTCCAGATGTAGAGGGAGTAGACGGGTTTTCGGAGCCAGGTGGGGAGCTCCACCCCGTTCAGCCGACCCCAAGCCCGAGAGAGGAGGCGGGTCGGGAAGGACCGGTACAACGCCACCTGCAGCACCAAACAGGAACCTACAGGTTAGTCATTATTATAGTCTGGTTCACAGAAGAGGACTATTTGAATGTGAAAGAGGAGGTGAAAGAGGAGGTGCTCTGATGTCAAAGCAGTAATAGCGAAGAGGGTGACAGGAGAAAAAATTAAAAAAAGACAAGGCAAGGAGGTGGTTTTAGTAAAAACATGATTAGTTAGTAGTTTTCAGAGAGCACATGAACGCAGCACAGAAACAGTGTAATGGGATTGGGGGACAGGAGGTCTAATGAGGTCCAGCTGGGTCTCTGTGGAGGACTCTGAGTGGGACGATGAGCTTTCAATAACCGATATAACTGACACATACAAGGAATTTGCTTCTGTAAAATGGTGCAATACAATAAACAGAGAAATATAGAGACAATAAAAAGACACAAAATTTACAAATATTAACTGTATTTAAATGAATGAATGAATGAATGAATGAATGAATTCACAGGTACCAAAGTGACCCCAAACACATCATGACCCTGACCCCAAACACATCGTAACCCTGACCCTGAACACATCATAACCCTGACCCCAAACACACGATAACCCCGAACACATCATAACCCTGACCCCAAACACACGATAACCCCGAACACATCATAACCCTGACCCTGAACACATCATAACCCTGACCCCAAACACACGATAACCCCGAACACATCATAACCCTGACCCCAAACACACGATAACCCCGAACACATCATAACCCTGACCCTGAACACATCATAACCCTGACCCCAAACACACGATAACCCCGAACACATCATAACCCTGACCCTGAACACATCATAACCCCGAACACATCATAACCCTGACCCTGAACACATCATAACCCTGACCCTGAACACATCATAACCCTGATTCTTTCGCAGTTTTTATCCATTTTAATGAGGACATTTTCAGTGCTGTTTCCTTAGCGTCAAGCTAGTTGTGTGTTTACAGAGACGCAGATGTTCATGAGGACATCCCGAGCCCTGCTCTACGCTGGGTTTCAGAAATACAGTGGTCCAGTAGCTGAACTTGTTAGGGGGGTTTGGGAGCATTAAAGTAGAGTTATGTTTAGGAAATTATTCCATGATTTTTACTGTATATATATACATATATAAAAAATACTGGGGTCCAGACCAGGGTGACCTCATGACGCAATAGGAAGTAAGAGTTCTCATGTGGACAAAAATCAGTACTGAGTACCAGTGTTTCCACCACTAGCACAGGAGCTTTGGACCCAGCAGCCTCCTTAACTAATAACCACCAGTCAGACAATGACTGAGCCAATAATGAGTTGTGGGGTTCCTCAGAGTTCTAGTCTGGATCCTCTACATTTCACATTTAAATGCTGATGTGTAGCTGGTTTTCTCTGTAAACAACTCAGTAAGTAGTGTGTTTATAATGTGTCCGTCCACACAAAGACGCTCACTCGGTTCCCAGTTCCCAGTTGGTGACAACACCAAGTCCAGTATTCACTGTTTTAGCTGCTAAACACGCCACTGTGTTCCCCAATGGCATCTGTCTGCTTTTATTCTGAAAACACACAGGAAACATGTCACAAAAACAAAGGTAAGAGCTATAAGAGGCTAAAAAACTCTGCAGAGCTACAGAGACACCCGGCCATCATCAGTACTGGAGAGATCTGCTACAGAAATATTGATTATAGATGCATCAGAGAGGAGGTGAAGAAAGGAAGAAATAATAAAATAACCAAACAAAGACAAAATGAGGACGTTAATATACGTCCGTTACCCATCTCCCTTCGTCCAATCAAAAGCCAGCCGGCAGCCGCTCTTACCCGATTGGCCAGCGGCCGCAGAGCGCTGACGGACAGGACGTAGCAGAGGAAGGCAATTGGCCGACGGCGCCAAGGGAAGGGCCGACAAATGCCGACACTGAGCGCGCTCAGACGGCGACGGAGAGTCAAACGAGGTTCCTGGAGCCTGATTATGATAATGAGATTTAATGAGTGTGAGGGAGGAGGAAGAGGAAGAGGAAGAAGAGGCAGAAGAGGAGGAGGAGGAGGAGGAAGAGGAGCAGGAAGAGGAGGGGCAGAGGAGCAGGAGGAAGAGAAGGAGGAGGAGGAGGAAGAGGAAGAAGAGGAAGAAGAGGAGGAGCAGGAGGAGGAGAAAGAGGAGGCAGTGGAGGAGCAGGAGGAAGAGGAGGTGGTAGAAGAGCAGCAGGAGGAGAAAAAACAAAATAATTAAATATTTATTTTAATATTTGTTGGGGATTTTTCACTTGATGAGATAGTAACAGCTGAAGGGGGGGGGGGGCAGCCTGGTACCTGGGGAACCAGTTGAGCTAATTATAATAATAATAATAATAGTAATAATTATAGTCATAATAGAATAATAAGTATAATAATATAATTAAAGCTTTGAGCGGGACCTCGCACTGCACGCAACTCGGGGCGTGCTGCGGCCACGTCACGTGCCGTCGTAACACGTGTGAACCACAACATGAAAATTTCACGGAAATCAGCTCAAAATCGCCACGCAGCGCTTACTTCCTGTTGCCAGTAGGTGGCGCTATCACTATGTCTGAATGTTGTCATGTAGACATGTTCAAGGCGAGAGTGTTATCAAACACGTGAAGTTTCATTGAGATTGGACCACGTACGCTGAAGTTATGAGGACGTGTTCAGGGCAAAACTGTTTCAGAATATATGAAGTTTATTGGAGATTGGACATTGCACACTGAAGTTATGAGTTCTGTTTTATGGCGAATCTGCTGAAATCGACAAGTTGTCACTGGCACGCGGTTTAATGTACAGTCACAGCTCAACTTTTCTATCAGTTTGTATGACGACAGAATTCAAAATGGCCAACTTTGACAGCACGCCACAGACACGCCAGCACAACTTTTAATCAGGACCATTTTTTGACTGTACAGACCAATTTTGAAGTAGATCCAATGAATTCCCTAGGAGGAGTTCGTTCAAATACAACGTGAAAAGTTTGCCGAAAGTGAAAATGAAAATCAAAATGGCCGACTTCCTGTGGGGTTTGGGGTATGGGTCCAAGAGGCTTTTTGTACGTCCCGGCATGTTACACGTGCCTACCGAGTTTCGTACATATCGGTGAAACGTGGCGCCGGGGCTGCTGTCTTTTTATCCTGTAGGGGGCGCTACACACACGACAAACACGATTTTTGGTATGTGAGCTTCAGGCACTGCTCTACACGTGCCCTGTGAATTTCATATTCATAACTATTACGGTGTCCGCACAGTGATTTTTCATGCCAAAAGAGCGCCACCTAGTGGCGAGATTTTTTTTCCTTTTTAGGTGAGCCTCAGGGAGCCATGGGGAAGCATCGTACCAAGTTTAATTTTAATCACCCGTGCCAATGCGGAGATATAGACTTCTTCATTTTAAAGAGCGCCACCTAGTGGCGATGACCTGAAATTGTGCACGATGCTTAAGGAAGACATGAGGAACTTTGGACCCAAGTTTGGTGTCAATCGGACATAGCAATGTGGAGAAATGGTCCACTTCCTTTTTTGGCGAAAAATTTACAGGAAGTGCTAATTTTACGTGCTTATATCAGAATTCTTTAAATTAGTTTTTTATAAGGGCGGTGCCCAGGTGCTACATGAACCATTTTGTGCGAATCGGACAAAGCGCGTAGGAGGAACACGAAAAAGTACTTTATGGACATTTCGTGCTCTAACGAAATTAAATTCTAGGCGGAAGTGGGCGGGGCCTATATGTGAAGATTCAGCTCCATTCACTGAACGCGTGGATATAAGGTTTTTGTATGTGCGACAAAATATGCAGAAGTTATTAGCCTGAACACATTTTTTAGGATAATAGTGCCACCTAGTGGCTAGAGCTTCGATCGGGCCCAAAAAATCAAGCCCGACTCTACTAAAAAACTCTACTAGTGGCCAACCCAAAAGCTACTCATAGAATATCCCATTACACCAGGCCGCCACTTTACCAAATAAAATAGAGTTTCTGTAAATGTTCAGGGGGCAAAATGCAGTCAATGGGGGCTAATAATAGTTATAATATAATAATAATAATAATGAAGGGAGAAAGGATGGTAGACAGAAAGAGAATGGAAGTTAAAACATGGAGGAATAAGCACACAGGTGGACAGGTGTGAAGGGGGCGGGGCTTGAGGAGAGGAGCAGACGCTATCGCAGCTAAGCTACGCTAGAGACACGCTAACACTGAGCAGTTTTTAAAGAGCACATTTTGAAATAGTTTATTATTTATCATCTTTTTAATAAATCTCATTTGTTTTTATAATTGATACAATAAATCTAAAGAGGATAACTAAATCTGAATTTGAATGTGAATAAAAGATTTGAGGGTCAATCAGTCAAATGAACTTTCACACTAATACTTTTAATAAACACACATTTACAATATATTCTATCTAATATATATATTAATAGATTATTGATGAATATATAGATTTGTCTTCACTGTCAGAAGCTAACTGGGTTAGCAGGTTAGCACAGGATCAGCTGGAAAGAGGGTAAGCTAAAATAGCTGACCTGCTAAGCTAGCTGTCACCATAGAAACCACACACACACACACACACACACACACACACACACACACTAATCCCCCCAAACACACACGTATTAGCTCCAGTGTTATTGATCATTGATTGATTGACAGGCTGCTGCTGTTGTTTTCTTATTTCTATCAATCTGCTGATCGATAATAATATTGATCCTTTCTCTGTTTAACTTTCTCTCCCACCTGAATCGTGCTGTTGTTCTCGTCCTCACCCCTCTCCCTCTCCCTCCTCCTCCATCTTTCTCCCTGTCTTTCTCTCCGCCGCCGCGCCGCCGCCTCCTCACCTGCCGCAGCAGGTCGCGCTGCCGCTCGCCGCCGCCGCCGCGGCCGCGGCCGCCGCGGGGGAAGAACCTCACCATGAACGGGGGGTCGCTGACGGCGCCGCACACACTGACGGCCGGAGACACATCAGGACGTTTAAATGAGCCAGAGAAGAAGAAACAGAGCGAGAGACCGCTGAGAGAGAGAGACAGCTGGTAATACTGAAGAGCACCGCCCCCTCTCTCTCCATGTATTCCCTCTCTCTCGCTCCTCCCTCCCTCCCTCCCTCCCTCCCTCCTCTTGTATGTAACTATTTACTTCTTTCTTATCAGGTCATTTGTTAAATTGTTGGTACAGTGATATATTAATTGATGACCAATGTTCATTACATTATTAAATATCATAAAAAGGAAACATGAGTTCAGACTAATTGGACTTCTTTAATGTGTCACTATGTAGACTTAGGAGGATCGTTAATTATCAAATAGGTTTTTGCTTGATATTTTGTAATATTACAGTTTATTCATTTAATAATAAAAACAAAACTGAGATCAATCGAGATTTTTCCCCAATTTAAGGAATATTGTTTGATATTTGACTTATTTCATTTCTAGTTATTTACAGGTATCAATTTGACGAAAGAAAGAAAACTACATTATTTTGTTTTTTTTCATTCTCCAAATATTTAAAATATTATATTTATTGTTTTAAAATCATTTTATTACTTTTTTGTAATAAAAAGGTTAAATTAATTCTTATTGATTATTGCATACAATATAAATAAAACTTTGGTCCAATCAGAGCCTCCGCCCGTCCTGCCGGTTACTGATTGATCAATCAGACCATGTCCTCAGTGGACGGACCAATCAGCAGGCCAGTTGGCGCACTGAGGAGAGGGGGCGGGGCCTGAGTGAGAGGGTGACGTGTCAGTGCAGAGTGACCGGTCTGTGTGACATCATCACCGTGACATCGCTGTCACCTCTCACCCAATAACCCGAGCTACGGCTAAACGCTTAGCATCTTAGCATGTTAGCAGCAGATTCAGTCGTCCCTCACTGTCACACAAGATGCATTCAGGTGCAGCACTGAGCGTAGGTCAAAATGTTTATATTTACATCTGTGTGTGTGCGTGTCCACGAGACCAAACAACACAGGAAGCCGTTTAAAAACAGGCACACAACTATTGACAGCATTCTGCATTCAATTATTTGATAATGATTCTGATCAGCCTGATCAGTAATCAATACTCCCATTATTAAAGCATTAATCAACCTGATCAGCCTTCAGCAGTTAGCTAGTGTTTCTGTAGTGGAGACTAAACGTTAACAATGATCCATATCAGCAGTTTGAATCCAACTAAAAGCTCCCTGCACCAAACTCCCTTTAAGAAATATCACATTTTAACAATTCCTAACGTGTTCGTAACAACACGTAACTCTAGAAACACGAGCTAAAGGCCGTCATATGTCCACAGTCTGACTGTCAATACAGGATCAATATCATCCATAAAGATACAGTGTATACTGATCAATATCATCCATAAAGATACAGTGTATTCTGATCAATATCATCCATAAAGATACAGTGTATACTGATCAATATCATCCATAAAGATACAGTGTATACTGATCAATAATCCATAAATACAGTGTATTCTGATCAATATCATCCATAAAGATACAGTGTATACTGAACCCTAGGTTCCTCTTCAGCACTGTAGCCAGGCTGACAGAGAGTCACAGCTCTATTGAGCCACATATCCCCATAAACCTAAGTAGCAATGACTTCATGAGCTTCTTCTATAATAAAATTATTACTATTAGAGAAAAAATTAACCACCAACTGCCATCAACAGTTATCAGTGGCTCTCCAAGTTCAGGGACTTCTGCCAATGTAAACTTAGATATATATTTAGACTGTTTTTCTACTATCGATCTTCATCAGTTAACTTCAATCATTTCTTCATCGAAGCCATCAACCTGTCTATTAGACCCGATCCCAACTAGGCTGCTTAAAGAAGTTGTTCCCTTAATTGGCACTTCTTTACTGGATATGATTAATCTTTCTTTATTATCAGGATATGTACCACAGTCCTTTAAAGTAGCTGTAATTAAACCCCTTCTTAAAAAGCCCACTCTTGACCCAGGGGTTTTAGCCAACTATAGACCGATTTCTAACCTCCCCTTCCTCTCTAAGATTCTGGAGAAAGTAGTCGCCAAAGAGTTGTGTGACTTTCTACATAACAATAGTTTATTTGAGGATTTTCAGTGAGGATTTAGAGTTCATCATAGCACAGAGACAGCTCTGGTTAAAGTTAATAATGACCTTCTGATTGCTTCTGACAATGGACTTGTCTCTGTACTTGTATTATTAGATCTTAGTGCTGCAATTTTCTGATTTTAAATAAAAAAAAAAAACCTTGGCCTCTAGCACCACTGTCAGGAATCTTGGAGTTATCTTTGATCAGGATTTGTCATTTAACTCCCACATAAAGCAGACCTCCAGGACTGCCTTCTTTCATTTACGTAATATTACAAAAATTAGACACATCCTATCACAGACAGATGCAGAAAAACTAATCCATGCATTTGTTACTTCAAGGCTGGATTACTGCAACTCTTTATTATCAGGTTGCCCCAATAAGTCCATTAAAACGCTCCAATTAATTCAGAACGCTGCAGCACGAGTACTGACAGGAACTAGAAAAAGAGATCACATCTCTCCTGTACTAGCTTCTCTGCATTGGCTCCCTGTAAAATGTAGAATAGAATTTAAAATCCTCCTCCTCACCTATAAAGCTCTTCATGGTCAGGCCCCTTCATATCTTAAAGAGCTCATAGTACCCTATTACCCCTCTAGAACACTACGTTCTCTGAATGCTGGGCTACTTGTGGTTCCTATAGTCTCTAAAAGTAGAACAGGAGCCAGAGCCTTCAGTTACCAAGCTCCTCTCCTGTGGAACCAGCTTCCAGTTGTGGTTCGGGAGGCAGACACCCTCACCACATTCAAGAGTAGGCTTAAGACATTCCTCTTTGATAAAGCTTATAGTTAGGGCTGGATCAGGTGAGTCCTGAACCATCCCTTAGTTATGCTGCTATAGGCCTAGACTATTGGGGGATTTCCCATGGTGCACTGAGCTCCTCCCTTCCTCTCTCTTTATGCACTCATTCATGTCCCTTTAATGCATGTTACTAACTCCACTTCTTCCCCGGAGTTCTTGTGCTTTCTTGTCTCGCAGGTTCTTATCGATCCTGGTGGAGCCTCCTGCCATGGTCCTGCTAGATTACCATTGCTAATATCACTGATATTATTGTTATTATTATTACTACAGATACTATTATTACTATACTCACTGCTCATTGTCCCCCATCGTTGCTGTTGTCGTCGTCACCGTCTTCTTCATGTTCATCATCATCAGTCACTACTATTAGTGTAGTTGTTGCTGTGCACATGTCTGTCTGTCTGTCTGTCTGTCTGTCTGACACTCTCTCTCTCTCTCTCCCTCTCTCGCTCTCGCTCTCTCTCTCTCTCACCCCAACTGGTCGAGACAGACGACCACCCACCTAGAGCCGGAGGATCTGTCCTAGGTTTCTGCCTTTTAACAGGCAGTTTTTCCTTGCCCTTGTCTCCAAGGTCTTGCTCATGGTGGTACTGTTGGGTCTCTGTAATTAATGTTAAAGAGTTCGGTCTAGACCTGCTCTATTTGAAAAGTGTCCTGAGATAACTTCTGTTATGAATTGGCGCTATACAAATAAAATTGAATTGAATTGAATTGATCAATATCATCCATAAAGATACAGTGTATACTGATCAATAATCAATAAAGATACAGACACATATAAAAGAGGAGAAGCCCTCTCTTACCTGGGTGGGGGTGGCCAGAAGGGGAGGAGCTCCATCTTCCTGTTGGCCCCTCCTCCTGTAGTGCTCGTAACCAAGGTATCCGCCACCTGTTACTAAGAGGAGGGGGAGTGGGCGGGGGCGGGGCAGGAAGCCACGACCTAGAGAGAGAGCTGATTGGTCAAAAAGCTGTGACACAGACAAACTGGTTCTACTGGTATACACACATCCAGGAGGGACACGGCGCAAGATGGCGGTGTGAGTGCACGTACGCTTCGGAGCTGTTCACCTTCAGACTTGCATATTAGTGAAACATAGTTACTTAAAGTATATTGTTGGAGGTATCTTAATGCAGAGTTGAGTGCATCGTGACGACACACTCTTAATGACACACGTGGGGGAAAAAACTTCGGCTAACAGCATCGCTAGCTAGCCTACCACAACCACGGCAGCATGCAGGTACCGACGGAGAATCCGCTTATGAACAACCTACACAACTACTGTGTGGCAGATGCACCTGTGATCTCTCTCGGGGACCCAGATTTCGCCCCTCTCCCCATAACTCCTTCCACAACTCCCTCCAAACATCCTGCACCAAAGAAAATGAAGTCGCGGCGCTCCTTGGATCTAGACAGTGAAGGTATTGTGCAGAAAATGTCAGTCATCTTCAACATGAGAATCGACTCTCTGGAAAAGAATGTGGAGAGAATGATTTCCAACAATACACTGAAGATTGAGGGGCTAAAGAAGACGGTTGACTTTGCCTGCGCTGAGATCCTTGAAGTGAAAGGTAAAGTAACACACATTGATGACCGAGTCAACGTGGCGGAGAAAAACGCGAGCCTACTGGAACAACGAATAACTGAGCTGGAAAACTATACGCGACGGTGGAACCTGCGACTCTACAGTATGGCTGAAAACAAAGACCAGAACGTCCGCCAAGAGGTGATACACATCTGTCAGTCCATCCTGCCGGAGCACAAGGCCAGACTCCCCAATGTTATTGACTCAGTGCACCGTCTCGGCCATCCAAAGAAAGATGCCACCAAGCCTCGAGGGATCATTCTACAGTTTGGTGCCCGTATATACCGCAATGCTGTCTGGAAAGCTGCAAAGAAGTCCACCTTCCTTCAAAAGAACAAGCTACGTTTTGCCTAAGACCTGTCCCCAGCAGTCAGAGAGCAAAGGATGCAGCTGTGGCCACTGGTGGCTAAAGCGTGAGAATAAGGGAAGGCTGCTTACGTCGTTGGAGGTCGAGCCTTTGCCAACGGGGCTGAAGTGTTTCCAGCTACCTGAAAGTGGTAAACGCCACACCTGTCAACATGTCCCTTAAGCCGAGTTAAGCTATAATAACCAATAAAAAAGTGCTTTTCATTCACTGTGTTTATGTTTTTCTAACTGTTCTGAGAAATTTTTTAAAATATTTTTTTAAGGGCTGATGAGCACATTAATGACACTCAACTGAATATGTTTAAATAAGACAACATTTATTACATCCAGTCAAGTTTTTTGCAATGCCCTAGAGGCTAGCACTGTATGTCTATTAATTGCTAATAACTGGTATGTGTTAGTTTGAGAACCTAGGTACCTCCATAATTGTATTGTTTTACTAGGTTTCACTATGCACTTTTTATTTAAGTTAAATTGGTGCAGCTCCTTACAGTAAGGTTAAAGTCTAGGTTCATCCAAACTTTACTTCTTACATTGTTCTATCTGTTGTTGTTAATGCGTCTTTATCTATCATTACTCTCAATGCCAGGGGGATAAGGGATACTGTTAAGCGCAAAGCGTTATTTTTGTTTGTCAAGCAGCACAAATCGGATTCTGTTTCATTCAAGAGTCACTCAGTTCCGGATGATGGTAGTTTATGGAGATCCCAGTGGGGAAATGATCTGTGGCAGGCTCATGGGTCTGAACATTCTGCTGGTGTTGCGACTCTAAAATATAATTTTCCAGGGACTATTCTATCTGTCAGTGATACATCAGGTCATTTTATCTTTCAAGTGTTAACCATTGAAAACTTTTCTTTGATAGTTATTAACATATATGGCTACAATTCTAACCATGAGAACGACATAGTGCTTGAAACATTAGAGAAGCATATACAAAATACCCTTAATAACTTTCCAAATTCAGGTATAGTAATAGGGGGGGATTTCCACTGCAGTAAATGAGAACTTAAAATTATTTATGCAAAAATTTTACTTGATTGATGTATGGAGGTTTAACAATCCTAACATAAATGCTTTTACTTGGAGTAATAGAAGTGCCACCAGACGTTCACGATTGGAATATTGGTTAGTTTCTGATCATTTGAATAATGATAAAATATCAGTTAATATCATCATAACCCCATTAACAGATCATAATGCAGTCTCCATCTTAATCCCCTTGCACTCTGCCCCCTCTACAAAATGTAGAAATGCTTACTGGAAACTAAACAGTTCGCTTTTACAACACAAGGTGGTAAAATCAGACATAAAAAAACGAATATTGGAATTTTGGAACAAAGCAGAGTCCAAGGCTGCTTTAGGTAGCAATTGGGAACTTCTGAAATTTAAAACTGGCCAATATCTGAGGAATTATGGTAGTATCTTATCCAAAATCGTAAATTGAAGGAAGAAAGGGTGGTCTCTAAAATAATTTCTTTGCACCAGAAGGACCCTGCAGATATATCAGAAGAGGAAAGACTAACTTTAATTTCGGAACAACTTAAACTAAATGAGATTTACTCCAACAAAGCAAAAGGTGTCTTTATATGGTCAAGGAAAAGGTGGATTGAAGAAGGGGAACAGAACTCTGCCTATTTTTTCGGCTTAGAAAGACATCATGGGAAGTTCAATTTAATCCAGCAATTTAATATTAACGATACTGTAACTGATAATCCAAAGAGATTAGCTGTTTTCTGTTCGGACTTCTATAGAAATTAATTCAAATCAAAATATTGCCATCAATCAACCACTACATTCTTGGACCCTCTTATCGTCACACCTATCTCCCAAGATGATAGGAAATTCTGCGATGACCCTATAACCTTGAAGGAAATCACATTTGCAATTGAACATTGTAAAACTAAGAAATCTCCTGGAGTTGATGGCCTCTCTGCAGAGTTTTATCAGGCTTTTACACAGAGAGAGAGCTCCCTTTCTACTGGAAGTAATATTAGAAAGTGTTGAAAAAGGGTCTCTACCTCCTTCACTGACCCGAGGCCTAATTACATTAATCCCCAAACCCAAAAAGGATCCACTGTTTATTGATAATTGGTGACCTATTTCCTTACTAAACACTGACTACAAAATTTTTGCCTCAATACTTGCAAAACGTTTAAAAAATGTTTTAGACCCTATTATTGATGAAGTCCAATCAGGATTCATGACAAAAACACATATCTCAAACAAAATTTGGCTTGTCTTAGATATAATTGATTATTCATTTTTATGTCCTGATGATAGTTTTATCTTTTTCTTGGACTTCTATAAAGCCTTTGACACAGTAGAACATAACTTTATCTTTCAAACTATTGAGAAATTTGGTTTTGGTGATTTTTTCTGTAAAGCTGTTAGAACAATGTTCTCCAAAGGCAATAGCTCTATCAGATTAAAAAATGGGACATCACCGAGATTTGAGCTGCAAAGAGGCATCTGGCAGGGCTGCCCTGCCTCTCCCTACCTATTCATTTTATGTACACAACTTCTTTCCACCCATATTAAAAATAGTGTTTTAAAAGGAATTTCAATTGCAGAAAGAGAAGTTATCCTCACCCAACTAGCAGATGATACTACATTATTTTTAAAAAATGCCAGCCAAGTGCCAGTTGCTATCAAAACAATAGAATTATTTTCCACAGCTTCTGGACTCTACTTAAATCTGAAGAAGTGTGAACTTTTCTCCCTTAAAGAAAGCAACGCCTCCCAGGTTTGTAACATACCAATCAAAAATAAGATTACTTATCTAGGGATTACTATAATTCAATTCAAGTCAATTCAATTTTATTTGTATAGCGCCAATTCATAACAGAAGTTATCTCAGGACACTTTTCAAATAGAGCAGGTCTAGACCGAACTCTTTATAACATTTCCGGAATGAAAAATGAGGAGGAGAGATGCTCTGTAAACTTTAATTTGATTAATGATAAGACAACGAAAAAGCTTAATCAATGGCTGCAGAGAGATTTATCCTTGAAAGGACGAGTATTGTTGACAGAGGCAGAAGGTTTATCCCGTCTCACATATGCAGCTATCCCCTTGTTTGTCAACAAAAAGCTCTGTAATTCCATTAATAAATTACTTTTCAATTTTATCTGGAAAAACAAGACGCATTATGTGAAAAAATCTGTTATCATGAACACTGAACGCGGTGGTCTAAACTTTCTTGATTTTACAACCCTTAATAATAAATAAATAATAATACTTTTAAAATAAATTGGATAAAGCATTTTCTAAAAAATCCCACATCTACATGGAATTTTATACCTAACTATATTTTCTCTCAGGTTGGAGGTCTAGAATATTTACTTTTGTGTGATTATGAAATAGAAAAAATTCCCTTAATTTTATCTAAATTCCACAAACAAATGCTCTTAGCGTGGTCGTTAATCTACAAACATAACTTCTCCCCACATAGGTGCTTCATCTGGAATAATCGGTTTATTAACCCCAAAAGAGTTTGCAATGGTTATGGATGTCATCCCATCTGGTATCTTAACTCTCTTAAAAGGGACTGAACACCAGACTGTATACAGCTTTGGACCCTAAGCTGACCTCAGTTGGTAAAATATGTTTTGCTACCACAACGAGGAATAATAATCTTTATTCCAGAGAGATGTCACCAGTATCTCGAATGTTGTTCCCTATTGGTCTAATTTTGTTGACAACCTGAATTGGGGAAATATCTGGAACCTTCCTTACAAATAGTAAGGAAGTCTCTTTCAAAATCATACATAGGTATTATCCTGCTAAGCAATGTCTCCTTAGGTTTAAGCTTGACGTATGTGTTAACTGTTCTTTATGTGGAATATGTCCACAAACAACGGTGCACCTGTTCTGACCCTACACCACCACGTTCGTTTCTTTGTTGTGGAAAGATGTACTGTTTGGTTTCCATGACAACAAAAGTAAAAAAACAGAAAGAAATATACCTAATTAATTTGTTGATCATTTTAGGGAAATATCATATTCACAAAGCCAAATTTAGTAACTCTAAACCTTCTTTTATTGCTTTTGGTAAGGAAACGGAACAATACATCAAAACCTGAATCTATGATTCAAAAAACAATAAAGCTGCTACAACCATCATTAATCTCTATTTTAATGTTTCTATCTGAATCTCCTCTGGCTCTATTCCTGGATTCATGACTCTGTCTGCTCTCACTGGCTGCATCATAAAGATTGAATATTATTATCATTTATTTAAAGAAAATACACACATACAGGAGGAGGAGGAGGAGGAGGAGGAGGAAGAGGAGGAGGGAGGAGCTGGAGGAGGAAGAGGAGGAGGAGGAGGAGGAAGAGGAAGAGGAGGAGGAGGAGGATGAGGAGCTGGAGGAGGAAGAGGAAGAGGAGGGAAGAGGAGGAGGAACAGGAGGAAGAGGAGAAGGGGGAGGAGGAAGAGGAGAGGGAGGAAGAGGAAGACGAGCTGGAGGAGTAGGAAGAGGGAAGAGGAGGAGGAGGAGGAGGAGGAAGAGGAAGAGGAAGAGGAGCTGGAGGAGTAGGAAGAGGAAGAGGAAGAGGAGGAGGAGGAGGAGGAGGAGCTGGAGGAGGAAGAGGAGGAGGAGGAGGATGAGGAGCTGGAGGAGGAAGAGGAAGAGGAGGAAGAGGAGGAGGAACAGGAGGAAGAGGAGAAGGAGGAGGAGGAGGAAGAGGAGAGGGAGGAAGAGGAAGACGAGCTGGAGGAGGAAGAGGAGCTGGAGGAGGAGGAGGAGGAGGAGTAGGAAGAGGAAGAGGAGCTGGAGAAGGAGGAGGAGGAAGAGGAAGAGGAGGAGGAAAAGGAGCTGGATGTGAGGAAGAGGAAGAGGAGGAGGAGTAAGAGGAAGAGGAGCTGGAGGAGGAAGAGGAGCTGGAGGAGGAGGAAGAGGAGGAGGAGACTCACCAGTGTTGATGCTGCGCTGTTGGTTGCAGCTCAGAGAAGAAACTCTGAAAAACAACAATAATCAATAATCAATAATCAATAATCCTGTTGGCTGATGTATACCAGCCTCTTCCTCCCGTCCAGGTTAAGCTCACCTGGACTTGAGGTCACTGAACGAACCTCATCACACGGCTCACCTGTCTGACGTCACATCCCGCGGTTACGCTTTCATACACACAGCGTCACTAACACGACACATACGTCACACTGTCGTTACGTTTCAGACCCGCAGCCGCAAAGTGACACGTCACTGTCTGGCGTCGAGCTGGTATATTTATTGTATTGATTAAATAAGATAATTATTGTATTGATTAAATAAGATAATTATTGTATTGATTAAATTAGATTCTTTAATGTTTCCTGTAGTGAAGAAATACCTGAACGTCGCTGCTCTGCACACCCTCCGCAAGGCCGCCGCCATGTTGTGTTGTTGTGTGACGTAAAGACGTCCTGCGTCACTGTAATGAGTTGGTTATTATGACCTCGTGTAGTCTGTCAGGTAACCCTCCTGATTGGCTGAAGACTGTCATCTGAAGCAGCTGATTGGCCAGAGCGGAAACTGCTGCCTGCGAGGTCTCACTGAGGGTTTAATAAACTGAACAGCTGCACGTTTATAAAGATTTACAAAACAGCGGAAAGTTTATTAACTTAGTGAATTAATAATCATTAAACAGTGTATAAACTCTAGAGCTATGTTCTAGGTAGATCGATAGATCGATAGATCGATCAGAATCAGAATCAGAATGAGATTTATTGCAGGTAGGTTTTTACACATACGAGGAATTTGTCTTGGTGCAATGGTGCTTAAAATATATAATCACACAAAAAATAACTAAAAAGATAAACATATGAATCACACAAAAATCACACAAGAATAAAGTACTTTTAAAAAATATATAGATAAATAAAGATAAGAAAGATAAGAACAGATAGGAAACTGTACAGAAGACGGGAGTGCATTAATGTAATGCATATATACAGGGCAGGTATGACAGTCAGTGACAGTGGGGGGTCCGGGCCCTGTTAATGAGGCTGCAGACGGAGAGAAACCGTGGTTGTGGCGAGAGGTTCTGGTTCTGATGGACCGCAGCCTCCTGCCAGAGGGGAGTGGTTCAGAGTTTGTGACCGGGGTGGGAGGGGTCAGCCACAATCTTGCCTACACGCCTCAGGGTCCTAGAGACATACAGGTCCTGGAGGGATATATAAATCTATATATATATCTAGAGAGAGAGAGAGAGAGAGAGAGAGAGACAGACTGACTTTATTAATCCCCGAAGGGAAATTTGGTCGTCATAGCAGCCAGGTACATTTAAATACAGTAAAATACAATAGAATAAAATACTTCAGTAGAAAAGATAAAAAAGATAAACAGGTAGATAAGGTGCAAATAAGTTGTAGTTGCATGATGGTGGTAATAGTACTGATCAATAATCTATAATCAACAAACAGTGTATAAACTCTAGAGCTATGTTCTATATGGAGCTGATTCAATCAATAATCTATAATCAATAAACAGTGTATGTTCTACATGTAGGCGAGTTCTTACACTTTCCCAAATGTTTCCAACAATGTTCAAAATCAGAATCACTTTTATTGATCAGGTATGTGAACATATAGGATGATGACTCTGGCCCAGCAGAAGTCCCGAATGGAGGGCAGTCTGTAGTCAGTAGTGACTGATCAATAATAAAGTGACAGACTGCAGAGAGTTGAAACAAACTTTATTTGTTCCAAAAATAGATTTCAGCAGAAATATACATTATATTACACAACCTGCAGTACTGTGTGTGTGTGTGTGTGTGTGTGTGTACAGTGTGTACAGTGTGTACAGTGTGTGTGTGTGTGTGTGTGTAGTGTGTACAGTGTGTGTGTGTGTGTGTGTGTGTGTGTGTGTGTGTGTGTGTGTGTGTGTGTGTGTGTGTGTGTGTACAGTGTGTGTGTGTGTGTACAGTGTGTGTGTACAGTGTGTACAGTTTGTGTAGTTTGTGTAGTGTGTACAGTGTAGTCAGTGTGCCTGTCAGTGGCGCCCTGCAGTGGCGCTGCTGTGTGCGCTACAGTGTGTGTGTGGGTGTGTGTGTACAGTGATGCCCTGTAGTTTGTGGCGCCTTGCTGTAGTTTGTGTAGTACGCCACTGCAGGGCGCCCTGCAGTGGCGCCCTGCAGTGGCGCCCTGCAGTGACGCCCTGCAGTGGCGCCCTGCAGTGGCGCCCTGCAGTGGCGGCCTGCAGTGGCGCCCTGCAGTGGCGCCCTGCAGTGACGCCCTGCAGTGGCGGCCTGCAGTGACGCCCTGCAGTGGCGGCCTGCAGTGGCGGCCTGCAGTGACGCCCTGCAGTGGCGCCCTGCAGTGGCGCCCTGCAGTGGGCGTGACTTCCTGACAGCTCACATGATCATCCACACTGTAAAAAACCTATTAAAAATATTAAATATTTAAATTCACATTATAACAGTCTACACTGTAAAAAATCAAAAACAAAGTTCACTGCAATAAAGACTGAAACTGAAATAAAAACCCGTCACATCAGACCAATGTGCTGATGTCGTTACCATAGTAACGCAGCAGTAGCGGGCATGCTAGCAGCTCTGTTTATTTGGCCTTTAGTCAGTTAACAGGAAGTGATGTCACAGCTCACACGTCCAAGCCCTGACGTGTCAGGAAGTCTTCGAGCGCGCTCAGTCTCTCCACCAGCATCACGTCCAGGTCCGACTCATCAACAACGGCGCTGCCGCCGTGGCAGTGGCGTCTAGCCGCCGCCCGTTTCCTGGGCAGTGTGGCGACAGGAAGTCCCGCCCCTAAACCAGACAGAGACGGGAAAGATTTCTCTGCTCAGTGATTGGAGCAGATTTTATTTCAACACCTGTTCACACCGTGACAACAGGTGACATGTGGTCTGCTCACCTGACGCACTGCGTTACTGTGGTAACCATTCAATCTCATGACGGGTTCAAAATTCAGGCTTAAACTGTAAAAGCTTTAAAGACACCAGGGAGGGAAACGCAGAGGCTCTGTGACTCCCCGTCCTTAGTGAACTACATTTCCCAGCGTACCTTGTGGCTTCTTCCTCTTCCTGGGCTGAGTGAAGTCAGGAAAGAGGAGGAGCCTGCGCCTCCTCTGCTGGCCAATCAGCAGCAGTGCTCCGTCCTTCTCCCGCGGCTCCTCGAAGATCGTCTCTAGACTCCTGTGGGATGGCAGAAAGGCATGCTGGGAGATGTAGTTTGTACAGAAGATGTACAGTCACTGTGTTCTTGATGTGGGATTTGTAGTTTGTTTACCTATTGGTGGAGGGGGATTTGTAGTTCTTGTTGGTGTAAATCTCCTCCAGACTGAACTCTTTCTTCTTTAACCTGAAAACATGTCGGTTTCATTGGATTTTAATTAGTGCTGTCAGTTAAACGCGTTATTAACCGCGTTAATGCAAACCCATTTTAACAGCATACATTTTTTTATCGCGAGATTAACGTTCTTTTTGGCCTAGCACACTTTGTAGATCTTTTTCACATGTGGTTGCAACAAATAGTAACGTTAGAAAAACTACAACGCCACACCGGATCTAGCTAGACCAGAAACAAAACAGGCACGCCGCACACACTTGTTTAAGAATAGTAGACGTTACGTTTTGAGTGGATGGCGAGTGCGAGACGCCGAAATGGATGCCAATAATATTCTGAATGGAAAGTTTACTTTTAAAAAGTTGCCAAATGGTTCCATTGACAAGACCAAAGTGATCTGTGTGTTTTGTCGCTGTGAACTGAGCTATCATTGCAGCACGTCCAGTCTGAAATACCACTTGATGGCCGAGCACACAGCTGATACGAATTCTCCACCCCCTCGTCAAAGCCAGGCGACAATGGATGATTTTTCAATAAAAACAACATTTGCACAAAGCAAGCCGATCCACTTTTCCATGTTGATAAGAGCATTAAAATGAGAAAAAAATAATGGGACAAAAAGAAATCAAGGGACATTTAGAATAGATAAAAATGTGCGATTAATTGCGATTAATTGCGAGTTAACTATGACATTAATGCGATTAAATATTTTAATCGTTTGACAGCACTAATTTTAATATTTTCAGACTTTTAACTGTTTCTGTTTTCATTCTCTCCTCGCCACCTCCTGACCTTTTGACCTTTGGCAGTCCCATTGGTGTGAGCAGTGTTTCCCGTGGTGGCGCCCGGCGGATCCGTATCTGTGACACTCGTTTACCACGCTGACAAAAAAACACAAATACAGATTGAGCTTCATCGGCGGGACCACAAGGTCGAATTATTGATTATTCAGAAGAAAATTAAACTCAAATATAGAAACTAAATATTCAACGCAAACATCAGAGGAAACACAATCAATCAGATAATCAATCAGAGAGTCAGAGAATCAATCAGAGAGTCAGATAACCAATCAGAGAATCAATCAGAGAGTCAGAGAGTCAATCAGATAATCAATCAGAGAATCTCTACCTCTCCATTTGTGCTGAGAAACTTGGAGCCTGCTGCTGATTGGTCGGCAGAGAATGGAGCAGACAGCCCATTGGCTGAACAGGGTGGTAGGGGTAGGGGCCGTCGCCGGGGGAGGTGGAGGCTTCGAGAGCTGTGATTGGTCCGCTGCTTCTGCTGTCGCCGGGCGCATAAAGTTGGGCTACAGCACATAAAATATAATAATACAAAATGTTAGCTGATGAACAATAAACAGTAAACAGTAAACAGTAAACGCAGCGCCATCTTACCTTGTTGTCGCTGTTCGTACGTAACTGCAAAGACAAACATTGGAAACACGTCAGTATGTTTATTAATTCAATATTATGAATATTAATGAGGTTCAGTGGCGTTGACCAACCAGTGGTCGCTGCTCAGACTGGGCGGGGCCGTCCAGTCCTTCAGGGGCCGCTGGGGGCTCCAAGAAGCTCCGCCCCTCACTGTTTCTGACATCGTCTCCACGGCAACTGCAGACAGCCGCAGCATGGGGGCGTGGCTGAAGGAAGAGGGGGCGGAGCAGAGCCAGATGTGCAGAGCAGCATGATTGGAGGAGAGGGGGAGGGGCAGGGGGAGGTCAGAGAAACGCCATTGGCCGGAGGAAACGCTGAGTCCTTCTGATTGGCTGCAGGTCGGACCTCTCTGGGCTGACTGCAGCAAGGCATTCTGGGAAGAGGAGCTGGAGGTGGTGTAATATATAATCAATACTTTATATATTGATAAACATTTATAATAATAAGTATATCATATATAATCAATTTCCTCTTTGATAAAGCTTATAGTTAGGGCTGGATCAGGTGAGTCCTGAACCATCCCTTAGTTATGCTGCTATAGGCCTAGACTATCGGGGGATTTCCCATGGTGCACTGAGCTCCTCTCTTCCTCTCTCTTTCTGCACTCATTCATGTCCCATTAATGCATGTTACTAACTTCACTTCTTCCCCGGAGTTCTTGTGCTTTCTCGTCCGCAGGTTCTTATCGATCCTGGTGGAGCCTCCTGCCATGGTCCTGCTAGATTGCCATTACCAATACTGTTGTTGCTGTGCACCTGTCTGTCTGTCTGTCTGTCTGTCTGTCTCTCTCTCTCTCTCTCTCTCTCTCCCTCCCTCCCTCCCTCCCTCCCTCCCCAACTGGTCGAGACAGACGACCACCCACCTAGAGCCGGAGGATCTGTCCTAGGTTTCTGCCTTTTAACAGGCAGTGTTTCCTTGCCCTTGTCTCCAAGGTCTTGCTCATGGTGGTACTG